GAGAAATTCCCTCCCCCCATAAGTCCTGCTTGTATGGAGGAATCTATAATGATAATGGCGGTCAAGTCTTCTTATGTAAGACACTGCAGATAAGCATCTCAATCAATAGAATAACGCTGAGCCCAGATCGCGCTGGGAGGATTGGAGCTTTATGTGGGTAGACTTTCATAGGGATAAAGGTGCGAACTGCTGGATTAACAGATGACTTACACACTGAGAGGCAGGTGGACAGGTAAGCCATTAAACAGGCAGATCACTAATGCAAAACTGCAGGATGCGTATGATAAATATTTGACATGTATGGAGTGTGTTCTGTTTATCTTAATTAGCATTGTAAGTGAAGTTTTTCTGATGAGGCTGTTTTAGCCCGGATGTTTTGCCAGACATTCCCTAAAAATGTTTCATGTATTAAATAATAATTTAAATACATTTTTGCTCAAATCTAACATGTAGAAATTGACAGTAGCGTCCACCCCATATGAGTTTTGTTTGTCAGTGTCAACAGAGTACCATGTCACACAGATAAAAGGCCACTGAAGTGATACTTTTGTTTTAGTTTTGTTCTTATAACAAAAATTTATTGTGGTTTGTACACATTGTGTGGTTTTAATTATGTCTTCTATATTTTCTCTTTCTCTCTCCGTATGCTAAGTACTTTGTAACCACAGTTTTGAGAAATGCTTTAGAAATGTACTTTACACACTTACTTTGTCTATTGACTATTCCTGCAACATGATCCACTTGTTCACTGTCAAGCTCCCTCAGAATGTTCCAAACAGTCATTGATTTGCCAAAATATGTCTAAATACACTGCTTCTGTAACATGCTGTTGCTGCCTGTAAGCTCTGAAGCTTGTGTGTTTAGCCATATTTTGCCAGAACTACTATGAGTATCAAAATACTAAACCCCCAGGTAGACTGGGAAAAAGTGGATTAAGCTTCAGAGGTGGCTGGCAAAGTTTTTGTTGTGCAATTTTGCCAGTGAATTCAAGCTTACAGCCTCTGAAGCAGCAAACAAAGTTTTTACAACTATCTCTCCAGCTTACCAGGGATAAATGTTTGATCCCGACATTTATTTAGGAGTCAACTGTTGAGGTATGCAGGAGTCTGTTGACAAGCTTGAACATGTCACAGTATCAGCTAAATGTCATGCAAATGGAAAGGGGTGACATTTAAATACAGGCAGTGATATCGTACATTTTGCATGTGATGCTGACTATGACTTCTGAGCTGTTTAGTCACCTGTCGAGTCTTCTCACCTCACCTGACTGCCTTACATTTCCACTCCCTGTGTCACAGTGTAAGTCGCTGTTGTTATTGTGGCTTCAGGGGCTCATAACAAGAACAGAAACCAGTCGGCTGTAGTGTTCGCTGGTGGCCGCCATCTTCAGGCTCGCTGTTGTGCACAGTGCAATATCACAGCGGCCGTCGATGTTCAAGTCGTGTTTGGGTCTAGACTGCATGCCAGCACACAGTATGTGGACAGCAGTCTGCCATTTTATGCCACATGCTGAGTGGCGCACACAGCATGTCTGTGCACTCAAGCACATGCACACTCGCTCATTTGTAGTACTACCACCAGTGTTTCTTTTGACTTGACCTTGAAGAGATTAAAATAAAGCTATCAATATTTATATTGGTGAGACATTTCTAGTTTGTAACAATTTCCCTCTTACACATACAGATCAAATTACCTGTATCAGTTGTCCTCTTAACTTTACTGCAACACAGCGCCCTGCCATGACTGAGCAGGGGTAGGTCATTTTTTTCCTCCAGCATTTTTTGCCATTCAGGAGAACATTTTCACAAAGGCTTATTTAAAAACACCAGCCAGTGTGGATAGGGGGCCAAAACAGAGGTAAAAAGACACATTTAAATATCTTTGGCTTAGTGTGCGGACGTCTCAGTTTGTCTGACTGTGTGTCCTCTCTACTCTTGGCCTCAAGGTGAGCGCTGTCAAGTCTGTCACACTCCTGCTGTGCCTTCCAGCTGTGCTAACGTTAGCCTGCCTTTCATTCACATACAGCACAGAGCTTCAGATTCAGACACCTGCTGAGCCGCAGCACACATTGATGGGAGGTGAACATATTCATGCCATGGCAGTTTTATGGGTATTTTTAAATATTGTTACCTCAGACTTCCTGTTCTAATTTTACAGACACCAAGTTCGTTAGTTCTTTTAGGCATTTGTTTTCTGTAAGTTGTAAATGAAATATTATGGCGTATTCTCATATACCCTGAGTTACAAGAGTACCAACCACTACAACAGCCGTGCAATATGTACATTTTTGTACATGTTCAGTTTTTGTTGACACTGTGTCAGAGATTCTATCGTCACTATTGTGTCATATTGCTAACCATCCCCTCGACATAAGCTCCAGTTTGTTCAGATTAGCTATGTGATTAGAATTGACCGCTTTGCTCGACGCAGCGAAAAGTCATCTTAGCTGGCCTTTGAAAATAATGGGTTTCAGAGTGTAGTGGTGCCGTTGTCATGTTGTGTCTGAAAGGGCCTTAATTCAGTGGAAGCAGAGTTGTGCTGTGCTGCCTCCAAATCAAAATAGAGACATTCTTAATAATAATAATAATGATGATGATGTTTAGGAGTATGTGTTTTTAAGTCGACAATATGTACAGCTGCACATGAATTGAGTCCACCTATCTACTTTCTGTATTCTTTACTTTTAGTCGCTATTTTCCCTTGTTGATCTGGGTGTTTGTGGATGCAGGAGTGATTCTTGTGACAGAGAGCAGATTTGTTTACTTCTTTTAAAATATCTGTTTTAATGGAACCACAGTGTGAAATAATATATATTTATCAAGATGAAGTGATGACCTCTTCATGAGAAACAACTAATGAGAAGTGTGAGGCTGAGAGATTGCCAAAGTCTCTCTTTCACTCGCTCTCTCTCACTCTCTCTCCTTCTCTCACACACACGCACACACTTGCGCACTCACACAGACACCACGGCTGGACCAGACAGAAGGAGGTGTGAGTCTGCATGTCTGTAGGGAACAATGGAGGTGTCAAAAAATGGAGCACATTATTATCACCTTTTCTTCCACTACATAGGATCTGAAAGGCATTCAGTCTGCAGTGCACACAGAGCCACACACACAGATCAGTAATAAGACTGTCTGCACAGTCTGCTCAGTAACATAGCATAGTTCAGGAGGTTCTGAAGCGCCCGTAAGGAGAGGATGAATGAAACGGGCTGGAACGGCAGGGAATTGGCTCAGTGATTTAAACGCTTGCCGGATAAAAAGAGAAAAAATCAAATAAATAAATGGGTCACTTCAGTCAGTGCTGATAGCCAATTTCTCATTCCCTCTCTGAAAAGCCTAACAGTTTCAGTGGGATCATCGGAGCGAGGTTATTCTGGGAGCAAGACGGCTGAGAAAGTCTCCCAGTGTGCAAAGTGGAGCTGAAGATACAGATCTGAGCTAATTCAGAGTCTGTTTCATCTCAATCTGTTTCAAATCAACAGATCTGGTCACAAACAAAAGGTGGATGAAGTAAGTTGGATCATTTTTGCAATGGAGGAGCTGGATCCTGCATGGAAAGAAGGGAGGATCCACTGGAAGCCTTGTCAATCATCCAGCACTCCAGGGATGGAGGAGATGGAGGAGTGGGGAGTTTATTTCTAAGTGACAGCCACCTGTCATAACTTTAGATGACGCAGCCACAGCACTCTCCATCCCAGTATCCCGCAGGCGGAGGGGAGGGGAAGAGATGTTTGTGTTAACGTCAGAGAACATGTGACCTGAGCTTTGAATGACAACATTTAGTTTCTCATCGTGTGGCTGAAGATGTTGAAGTGATGGATGCAGGGTTTAGTGGAGCAGCCGTGATTAAAGACGAGGTGGGGTCACTCTTTTGTTTGTCTTTTTGTGAGCTGATTATTCATCATTCCTGCAGAGCCGTGTTTCCCAGTCTGATTTGGGTCTTTGATCCGAGCTGTTTCTGTAATGCACAGTTCAGTCTCTTTTGTTTTATTTTAGGCCTGCTGGCCTACATTACATTCATGTCTGCTGTGTAGTTATGTCTGGAATTTGTGTCATTAACCTCACTGCTTATGTTTTTTAAGTTGACATTTTGAAACTAGATATTTTAACGTGTTGATGTCATTCATTCCATAGTGTTTTCTTATTTACAGTATTTTGAGGAACCAGCTGTTTATTTAAATGGTGTTTTTCAGCTGCTGCTGTTTCATTTATTCCTTTTTTTCCTCTTTGCACCAGATTTGTTTAGTTTTATTTATGTATTAGCAGCAATGAGTATATTTCTTTATTTAATGATAATTTCATTCTTTATTTTTCTTTCATTTAAAAAAATGTAATTTATCATTTCTTTGACAAGGACAAAGCCCAAAACACATATTGCACCAGGTGTATTTTTATTATATTCTGTTCTCTAATTTAATGTATTTTTTGTTTCCTTTATTGTTTATTTAAAAGGTGCAGTTGCACTAGATATAGCTTAAAACTGATTTTCCTCTGTGGTCCACCACCTGTATTTCTTTCCTCTCTTAGCCATAACTGTTACTGAAACATGATCATTATATTCACTATAAAGAAAAACTGTTGTTAATAGAAATCTTGTTGCTTGGAAATATAACATAGAATAACTGACCGCAGGCTGTTTTCAACACACACACACACACACACACACACACACACACACAGACACTATATGCAAGCTCTTGGCATGGTGCATGTAATCTGCTACTCTCTCATGACAGAGAAACACTAATTATGTAATTGACTCATCTAATTCAATCTCCGAAAAGAGGACACGGTTTGTTTTACAGTATCAGGATACATCTGCTATTCAAGCCTCAAGTCTCTGTTGCTCTGTGGGTCTCTCTCTTTAGCAGAGTGAAAAGCAGTATCACTTGGCAGAGGGATCATCTCCACAGTGGTAGTTTTGTTATGTTTAGAAAAACCAGCTCATTGATTGATTTGCTTTTTCTTCTCTTTCTGTCTTTACTTGTTGCTCAGGGCCACGTCTGTCTGGCTCAGTGGAAACTCCAGACAGATCGCTGTTCTGAGACGAGAAAGTCGGGCACTTTGGGAGCTGAGCCAGTGATCTGTAGGAGGAGAGAAGATTGATTAAAATGGGGTAAGTTTAGAAGATCAGACAGCACACTGCCAGCAGCTGCAGGAACTGCTGGCTGCAACAGGAGGATTTGTTTCCAGACCTGATCTCTGCAACATGGCTTGCTCATAGGTAACCTCTGCCCTGTCAGAGAGGAGGGCAGATGTGCCGATAGCAAAATAAACACTGACTCACATATAACAGTATGTATGATGTGATGAACACATACAGAATTATACAATAACAGTAGAGCCTTATGGCAGAATGACCTGCCACAATATATAGAAATTCAACCAAAACCATATTTTTGTTTTGTTATAAAAAGAACTTTTATTGTAAGGTTATGCATAAGCAAGTCAGATCTCAGCAGTGTTGGGCAAGCTACTTGGAAAATGTAGTGAGCTAAGCTACTAGCTACTCTACATTAAATGAAGCTTCACTACACAGAAGCTAACCCCCAGTGAAATGTAGCAAGCTAAGCTACAGCAACGTGGCAAAAGTAGCTTAGTTACATCAAAGCTACTTTTAATTTTTTAAATATAATTTTGTGTGTGTATGTATGTATGTATGTATATATATATATATATATGGAAAATGTAGCATGTGTGGAAGCTACCGCACTACTCTGCCAATAAAAGAGCTTAGCTACCACCAAGCTACTGAGAAATGTAGTTAAACTAACGGCGCTACTGCCCAACACTGGATCTCAGCAATGATTGGCTGAAGTGGCTTAAGTCCCAATTCGGTTCTCTTTCTCCACTCACATGGCTGTAAAGTGGACAACATTTGATACCACTGACCTTTTAAGGCTTGTCATCCCTTAAAGTGAATACAAATCGCTAAGCAGTTGCACTCTAAACACACTTTAAGCTGTTTATTTGGGAGTTTTACGCTTTCAACTTTTTATGATATACAGTCTATGCATAAAACTCATGGAACACGGTCTACATGTGACCTCACCTCACTTTTTCACATGAAAAAGACAAACATTTGAGACAAGTCAGAAGAAAACTATACTCGTGTTTCGTTTTTTGACTTCTATCTTTTGATGCCTCAGATTTATCCGGGGACCTGTGGGCCAAGGTTGGGAACAATTGTCTACTCAGGACAACCTATTGTCCGAAGATGTTGCTTAACAAGTGCAAAATTAAATCATGTTGGCCCGTAAAGTAAGGGTGTATTCACACCTGTCTTGTTTGCTTCGATGTGTTCTCGGTCCGGTTCCAAACAAGCTCTTAGACGGTTTGTTTAAGGTGTGAATGTGGCCCGACCTCGATGCGACCCAATTGCAGAAAGCACTGTGCCTTTTTTGGGGTTAACAGGCTCTCGTAGTCAATGCAGATTGTGTCTTTAATTACACTGATAACTACCTCATATTACAGACAAATCTGGAAACAAATGCACTGTTTGCCTTTTTTATGTAATTATGGGTAATGGAATGGCCTGGTGTGAAAGCAAACTGCACCAAACAAGAAAATCAACATTGTATTTGGTCCAAAACCAGAGCAAGTGAACTAGCAGACTTTCCTGGTCTGAATGTGCCCTAAGTCTTGATTAGTTTTGTAAAATATTCATGCTCATCCATTTCTGTATTGTGGTGGTGAAAAAACTGCATCGTCTCAACAACAAAAATATCTGAAATACTGCAGATGTTTTTATTTTTTTTAAAAACACTCTGGAAACCAGCCAATCCCATGTATTTCAGAATTTTATAGTGAATTACATTGAATGATCCAGTACATTACAAAAATAATGCATTAGCAAGTCATTTAATATTACAGTCAGCCTTCAAGACATATTGTATTCCACAGCACTAGAATCAATAAAAATTACACTAAAAATTTCTTAACATTGATTTGTACTAATAGATGAAATAATCGGCTTTTGTTATTCTTGTTTAGCCAAAATACAAAACATAGCCAAAACAAAATTACACCAATGCATTACGTGATTGTTCATCTCTTTCCAAAACCATGGCCATTAATCTGCTGCTATATCAGCCTCCACTCTTCTGGTTTCAGGCTTTGCACCAGATTGTGGTTGCAAGGATTTGCTCCTGTTTAGTCATAAGAGCATTAGTGAGGTCGAACAATGATGTTGGGAGCTTCCAGTTAGTGTTCCAGTTCTTCCCAAAGGTGCTGGATGGGGTTTAGGCCAGGGGTCTGTGCAGGCCAGTCAAGTTCTTCCACATCAAACTGGTAAAACCATTTCTTTATGGATCCAGCTTTGTGCATGGGGCATTTTCATGTTGAAACAGGAAATATGTGAAATATGACATTAGGATGAATACAAAATATATTCAAATATAATACAAAAGATAGTATGCCGTAGTGCAAAGTCTTAAGCATGGCTAAACCATGAAAAAACAGTCCAGACCAAGTACACAAAGCAGAGGTACCCATACACTTTTGGTCACATAATTTAAAATGTAAGGACTCCATAATGCACCATCTTAGAGGTTTGAATCCGATCACATAAATTATTTATTTCCTCATTTTAATGCTGTCCTCTTCACGCACTCTGCCATCATATCTGAAGAAACCTGCCCCTGTGCATGCTGGGACATTGTGGCTGATTTACTGTCCTGCTGTTAGGGATGAGTTATTTCTCAGTTAGCTCCAGTGACAGAGGGAGCAGAGAAAGTGCAGACCTCCAGAGAGCCTTTATACTGGCAGTAATTCAACCAGAGAAAGGCAGAGAGAGGGAGAGAGGCAGAGGCATGCTGAGCAGCATGTTGCCTGCTATTCAGACACACACGCTCCTGTTAATTAAACCCAAATTCCACATATCAGCACTTTCCCTCCAATCAAAACTATACATACACACACATATATTGTATCTGCCAAACAGGATAATAGGAAAAGGAATGTAGAGGTCAAGTGTGCAGTCAGTTTCCTATGCAGTAACTCAGGGGAACCTTAAGGTGGTCTTCAAGATGAAAAAACTGATCATAGAAATGAAAACATTCTTCAGGCACTCTTAGGCAGAGCAAAGGAAAAAAGCGTATTAAAAGCCATTATTTAGTCAGGCATAATATTTTATGTGTACTGTGTGATACTGTGCACAAATTGTTTTGAATGCACAGCGTCATAAGCACAGATGTAATACAGCCTCACAGAGCCGCAAGCATGGCCGAAGACTCATAGTCAGGGTATATGTTTGCATAAATATGATGATGAACACTGATTTTTCAGGTATTTAATTCACTAGATTAAACAAAAACTGACACTTCTATTTGTTTTTTGTACTTCTAAATAGTTTCTCAGAGGATTTTCTTGAAAATGATGTAACAACATATATCAATATACTGTAGAATTAGAAAGTAAGTAAAGTAAATAATTATAAAAGTCATACAAATCGTAACTCCATCAATAGGTATAATTAAAGACTAAGCCTGGCGTTATTCTACATTCTACATGAAGAAAAACCAACAGAGCGTTAGTCTGTTTGTAAGGACCATGTATGTGGGATTGAGTTAAAATAAACTAGAGTGTGTGTTCATGGTAATGAAGCATCATCATGCACAGACAGTACTTGTTAGTCACTTAGTTCATTGTTGGGTTTAGTCATTTCATGTGATTTGTTGACAATGGCAAAAATCTAAACTATCTTCAGCCTGTTCATTGAAAATGAGAAAACCCTGTGTTTCAGTGAATTCCGTGAACAGCCACCAAATGAGATGTGAGGGAAACCGCCAGTGCTTGTTATGTTGGAGGTAACAGATTAACTCTGATCACAGCCTTGCTTACCTCCAACCGTGTGAGGAATCGAGATTTGTCTATTTGGCCTACTGATGATGTGGAGAAGCATGGTGGCCTGTTCGTGCTTTGGCATTAGGCAGTGTTGGAGTCTAAAGATGATTTGGGTTTTATTATTCACCTAATGCATGAGCCCTCTAAATCCCTGTTTCATAATCATAGTCATAATCACAGCCCGTAACCCTGCGCTGCTGACCATGATGTAGACAGAATATGAGATACAGATGACAGGCGTTGGGGTTGGGCGGTCGACATGCTATTTGTACTCATTACAGAGAGAGAGAGAAAGAGCTGCAGTATACCCAGAACCGTCTTGCCAGCTCTCTCTCGGCTCCTGGCTAATCTACAACTGCTGTCTGATTAATCAGAAGGAAAGAGCAGAGCCGGCCGCCAGCGGACAGATGAGCAGTTATCTTCATTACTGTCCCCTCAGTTTACTGCTTTTTCTTAGCGTCACACTCATTTCCTCTCTCTGTCTCATCTTTGTCTTTTACTAGGGCTTTCTTCTTTTTTTCTCCCTCCTCCACTGTCTGTCTCTCTGTATCTGTCTCTCTATCACATGTTTTAATAGCCTGACAAGCAAGGCAATAATCCCTGTATTATTATTCTTGCTGCAGAGAAAGAAAAAAGAAAAAGCCCAAGGGGGTACACAGGGAGACATTTATATCAAATGAATGTGATTATTCTGGGTGAAGGAACCACGCTTCAGAGCTGTGGTTATTCAATGTTCCAATATGGGTGTGTGGACTGTGCTTTCGTCCCCATGGCTGAAGACCACTGACAGATTGGTCACATGGCCAGAGCAAGGTGGTATTGAAATCACTATCACAATATTACCAGTATATGGCAAATGTACACAAAATTACATATAAAATAATTTGATGTTTAATGCAGTGAACATCGTGCCAGTGTTATTTGGTATGAAGTCATTTTGTCAATTGTGAATCACTATTTGCTTGCAACCATTCGTTTAGAAACGGATAACAATAACATGATATGATTATATCATCACAATATGATCCCATCAAAAGTCATTTTGGATCATTTCCCAGCTTTAGTTAGCAGAATTACTATTTTTGGTTAGTTTCCATTACTCCAGTCTCTCAGATATTCAGATTCAGGATCAGATAATCCAACCCTAGGTGATGTATGTAATGTTATACAACTTAAGGTTTTTGGACTTGTGTAATCCATCACAGTGGACATCATCAATGATGTTTGCATGTAAACTGTATTACCATACCACAATAATGTAATATTGACTGCAAATAGATGAAGAGTTGATACTGGTGACGGATTTCAGAGCTCAAACCAAGCAAGTTTTAACGGCCTGCTATTAATTTTCATACAATACAGACACGAATGTACAATATTGACTGGACATTGGAAATACGTAGTACAAAAGTTAATATTTTATTGTGATATTGATGCTGCCGTAATTATAGTTACAGTTTTCTCTACACTGATACTAAAAGAACAAAAAAAAGAACAGGACCACAAACACGGTATGAAAGGATGCAAGACAGAGTCAGTTATTGTCTACGTATATTGTCCTCTTTATGTATCTGATCTTATCGTCATACATTCTTTCTTCGTCCCTGCAGGCTTCAAGTCTTTGTACCTGCTGACTGTGCGTCTGAGGGCTGCTCTCTCAGCCCACAGCCATGCCAGACATAAAGCCTCCACCACTATGTGACTACCCCTCCACCTCCTCAACGGGCTCTCCTGCTGGCTGCGCCTCTCCCCTCGGCCTCATCATAGACATGGAGCCCTGCATCGCCAACCTCCCCCTGGCCCCCGACCCCTTGTCCTCCTTCCCCCAACACAGATCCAGCGTCCCTCACTACCCAGGCTTCCAGGGGCCTCACTACCCGCTCATGGCCAGGTGCAACAGCAGCACCTTGCTAACTAACTTGGGGCTAAGGTACTGTTCCAGCAGGCATGGGCCTCTGGGGGCGACGCCAGGTCAGGGGCTCGCTCCGGACTCCTGCATCCACACAGGAAGCTACGTCAGCAGGCCTTACAGGAGTATGGAGAACCTCAACTGGAACGCTGTAGCAGATTCTGGCCTGTGCGCATTCAGTGCTGCCCCCTACAGGAGCGTGGATAGTGAGTTTATTTTACGCTATACTTCGACTAGCCACTGGTGCAGCGGGCCTCCAGATGGATCTGTGGTGGGGGCCCATGGACAGGTACCCAACCCAGAAAGCCTGGCAATTTACCCTCGACATGGACAGTCCAGGAAGGACCTACCACTCTTCCCTCAGTTGCTGTTTCCAGGTGGCGTCGACGAATGTGATGCAAGGAAAGGCTTGAGGGAGAAACTCCGCCTCCAGAGTGCAAGGTCATCAGTTGAGCCTCTGAAGCCCCTTCCATTGCGGCCTCAGGTGAACCTGGGTGCTGTACCCATCGAACGGGAGGGTGTGCATCATGTGAATTCAACAGGTGCTGGGTCCAGGCCGCTGTGCACAATGCGCATCACCAGCCCAGAGGAGATCAAACAGGAGGTCCTGAGGCGCTTACAGCTCCGGCGGCAGAACAGCAGCCCCAACCTGGCTCTCCACAGCTCCCCATCCAGCCCAGAAGTGGTTAAGACATCCTACACAACAGACAACATTGCAGGTAACAGGAGTAGATCAGATTCTGCATCTGAACGCTGCAGAGCTCCAGTAGGACGCCTACATATCCCCACATTTGAGGAGTTTAAGAGAATGAGACAGAAAGAGGGAGGACAGAGAGTGTCCACAGCAGGTTCTGTGGTATCTGGAAAACCTGAGGCTGACTTGCCACAAGAACCAGCAACGTCAGACAGTAAGATGCCAACTTCTGATCGGACTGTCCCTCAGTCAAGCTCCAGTGGAGGAAACAGAGAGCAGCAAGACTCTGAGGAGGTGGAAGGAGAAATAAGCAAAGGTGAAAGGACAGGCAACAGTGGTGAAGCCCCGCAGACTGTCACCTCCTCAGAGAAACCTCCAGGTAACAATGTGAGCAGTAACTGCACTGTAGCTCCCAATTCCTTGGCCAGCTCATTCTCTCCCATCCGCATGGGCCCGTCTCCACGTTTACCCCTGCAGCCCCTGGCCAGCACAGCCCAGGAGAAAGCCTCCACTGCAGGGCAGGATGATGGGAGCAGCAGACGTAGGAGGAGCAGTCTGGAACCAACTGGGTCAGTTCCCTTCCCGCCCAGCAGGGAGAACGGGGAACGGCCCTCTAGCTGCTGCCCAGCACTCCTACTGGAGGGGACAGACCTGTCCAGCTACGGAGCCAAAATCTACAAGATGAAGGATGGCCTCATCGGCTCTGCACTGGACCTCATTAAGAAGAGGTTAGTTTGGGAGCGGGGCATGAGGAGAGGAATGAGTGGGGTATATGTGTGTTTAATATTGTCAGAAGTATTCAGATCCTTACATGAAAATACTACAATGTTAAAATAGTCCATCTGATGTAAAAAGTGCTGCTTTCAAACAAAGTAATTTTGTTGAGCATACTTTTGGACTTGAGAAGTAAAGGCACTCATTATATCATATTTATATAATAGAAGCACCATTCAGTGGCAAAGTCTGTAGACTTGAGACTTGACATGGACTTGATCTAAAAGAAGAAAACAGCTCTGACCCATAGACACATAAGATGTGTGTGAGTGCTGCTCAAGCACTCTACTTAAGTACACATTTTTTCATTTTTTTTATGATGTATTTTATGACTTAAACTTTCCAAACTGTACATACAGTAGAAAAAATTTGCTCAAGCTACAATTTTAAAAGTTAATGCATCAGTGGTAACAAACACTCCAGATGTTTAACAGCTAAGCTAGCCAGCTGTCACTGTGGTAAATTAATGGCTTGAGTTTATTGTTACGTTATTAACTTGAAGCAAGTGACTCTTGCTGGTTGCAGTGGGCTTGCAGAAGTGGGCTCTGGTCATTAAGTTTGATTTGTAGTACAGTCTTGCAGTTCATGGATTTTCTTTGTTGAGTTGTAAAAACTGATGTGACTCCTGCCATCCAAACATACCAACTAAGTGACCAAGACTGGATTTTTGAGGCCAAGATCGTTATCAATAGTACTGTAGAGTATTTTAAAATCCAGTAAAGATTTCTTTTTTCTTATAAAAACATAACATGAACACACACTTTCACACAAGGATCCCTTAAATTTTGTTATTATAACCAACATGTATACATATGAGTGGGACATTTACATGTACAGTGCTGTCTGGTGGACAACCTCTGTCATAGCAACACTATTTCTAAATGACTTGAAATATACCTTTGATATTTCTGTGCTGTTATTTTTTGTTAGTTGTCAGCTGACATATACTATTTACACTGTAGCATTGCTGCTCTTACTTGTGCAAAGAATCTGACTACTTCTTGCACCACTGCCAAGATCAAAGTGGAGTTGTGAAAGTCCTTTGAATACAAACCAGCTCCACGTAGACAAATGAGAACAAAGAATTTTTTTATCTTGTTTTTGCTGCACTATACTTACAATGAGACCCGAGAGTTGTCCAATAAGCATATTGTTTTTAAATCCAGCTAATCTGTTTGATAGTAAAATTAGATCCTGTTGTGTACATCTTCTGAGCCCCAAGGCAGCTTTCAGCAGCAGAGGTGTGTTTGTCAGTGAAGTGTATGTGAGAACACTTCTTTGTGTGTGCTTTGCTGTGCCTGAACGCTGTACTGGGTGTGCGAGTCCATCTGTGTGAGCCCACATGTGTTATCGATTTATCTCAGTTATTGTGATAACAGCTGTCGGAGCTAACAGGGTTGGCTCTGCAGACGAAACTGTGGGAGGGAGGCTGGCATAAAGCATGACAGACTGGAAGACTGGCACCGTCCCTACAGACTCTCTCTCAGTGTCAGCTGTTGGCTAAATAAATGCAGGCTTCACTCCACTGTGGTTCATTCTGATCAAGGACAAACAAGAGGAGGGTGTGTAGTACAGCACTATTGTGCCATTTGGGTCCAGGCCTCATGCAATGTAAATATTAGACCCTAAACACAGAGGAGCTACTTGATAAGGTTGAACAATATAAACTCCACCCCCCTGAGGGCTGCGGGCTGCGATTGATGAGAGATATAGACGCTCTCTTTCCCTGCCTGTCAGGATTCTCCACTCTCACGCCTTTGTCTGCACTGCTAGCAGTGATGATGGATGTCTGACGCTCCACTGCATGAAGACAACAGAAAAATAACTGCTGTGTGTGTGTCTTTCTGTATACAGTAGCCTATAGTTCAATATGTGAAAGTGCAGTTGGGGTGCAACTAAAGGTTATTTTTACAATGAATCTACATAACCTGTAAAAAGGTGAAAATGCCCAATGTGATGTTTTTACATTGCTTGTTTTATCAGATCAACGCTATTACAAGATTAATAGTCTACAGCCATGCTAGCAGATGTGTGAGGCTGTACTTACATGTACTGTACTTATAATGCCAACATGCTGATGCTAAGCAGGTATTAGGCTAAACATTTAACATTTTTACCATCAGTTTAGCGTGTTAGCGTGCTAACATTTGCAAATAAGCACTGGACACAAAGTACAGTTTGTAATGGTCAGTAGTTTTTTATTGGTATTTGGTCATAAGCCAAATTATTGGAAAATTTCAAATTTTGATCTGAGCACCCTAGAGGAAAAGTCAGAGGATCACCAAAGTTATTACAATTAATCCTGAGGGGGACATGTATGTCTGAACCTAATTCTATGGCCATCCAATAGTGATGTGAAACAAATGTCAACTTTAAGAGGGAAATCTGGAGATCACCAGAGTTGAAATCAACATACAACAAAATGGCCAACTGACTGGCATTGCCATCTCTAGGGCCATGGAGCCATGCTGCTAACATAGCTAAAAACACATTTGCACTGATATAAAACAAGCAAATTCAAGCTCAAACCAGAGTGTATTTATTAGATTATTAAAATTGTTCATTAATTAATTGTCTTGCAATGGACTGGTCGACTTATCATTTCTCCAGTCCTCTTATAGAGCCCATTGACAGCTCAAGCAGCTCACGTTCAACATTGTTTATCCCAAGTGGATTCATCTTTTATGTTCAAAAAGCACCCACAAGGCAAGACACTGTACTCTCTTCATGTGTTTTTAATTTGACTTGCGGCTCTGTGAATGTTTTAATACTTGGAGATTTATTAATTAAACATGACAATATTCTGTGTGATCTCTGCACCCTGAGGTATTTGACTTCCACCAATACATCTGTTTAAGTGTATGCAGCCAAACTTGCATACAGAGCATAACACAGCTCTAGTTGTATTATTACAGTAATATTCATTTTATTACACCTGGGAAGCTTTTATAGAAATGGAGTGAAGCATTAAACCAGCACTTTTGAGTTAATTGTATACTGCAGTAAAAATGCACCAGTAGCATGTAGAGGGAGGCACTGTATCTAACTTTTTTTTACTACTACTAATAATTTATTGTCTCTATTAGATACACACATTCATAAATATATTGAATTCATTGGAGTGATATATGCATCACTGGAAATGACAACCAGTTTCAGCGTCACATGGTTCTGTGTTGAGTAATGATTTATCACATACAGTCGTTTCCCGATAAATTGAGCTGCAGGTTATTACTTTCCATGCATCATCTGCAGTGTGACAGCTACGACTACAACTGCGAAGGAAAATCTTTTAATGACAGTTTGTCCAAGGGAAAACCGATTGGACGCTTCAGAGCTGCGTCCTCAAAACTATATTAATTATATCTGCCTTTTTCCACCCTGGCACTAGTTTAATTTAGACATTTAGATACCTTTCATCTGCTATGATTACATGTGTAATACAAAATGGTACAGGTTGCCAAGGTTTGCTGTAGTTTAATATGCAAAACGTGTGTGTGCTCGTTAAAGTGCGTGCAAGTGCCACAGAGCATCAAAGGAATTTTGCCAAATCATTGTTATGATGTGTCCAGAAAGAGCTCAGTTTAACTGGTTTGGGAGGGACGGAGCTAAGAAAAGACAGTTATGTAAGAACCATTAGAATAATGAGACTGCATGTTAAGTGGCCATAGGGATATCTGAGGATATGTAACAGGCCAAAGTGAACTGCAACTGCATACCATAGCAGGGGTTAAAATTATGCTGGAACAATTAATTGATTATTAGATTAACTGTAGTCAGTTAATTGTTTAAGTAATTTAACAAGCAAACGCATTCTGTGGTTCCTGCTTCTGAAATGGGATTTGATGATATTATATCATGGTTTTATATCAATGTAACTTGAATATGTTTGGCTGTTGGTCAGACAAAACAAGCAATATGAAGACATCAACTTGAGTTGTTTCTGATGATTAGATTTTCCCTAATTTCCAACATTTCCAACAAAATTAGATTACAGCCTTATTTTAAGGAAGCACATTGCATTCACCAAATGGATGGCGCGATGGACTGGCGACGTGTCCAGGGTGTACCCCGCCTTTCACACGATGTCAGCTGGGATTGGCTCCAGCCCGCCGCGACCCTGTACGCAGGATAAGCGGTTGACGATGGATGGATGGATGGAAAAGAAAAACGATCGGGATGTAGTAATTATGAGACAACTGAAAGGTGCCACTCATGGCCACTGCTTTGCTCAGAAGATCCACTGCACAGCTACAGAAATTTAAGTTATCAGCTTGATACTTCTAGTGCAGTGGCTATAAGTTAATATTGCTAGAAGACTTTATAGAAGGTTTATAGGTAACGGTTTTACAACAGACTAATATTCATCTCGTAATTATAACATATCTTCTCATAATTAGGGGATAAGATGTCTACATTTTTTTTCTTTGTTGAATGCAACATGCTTCTGTACTATTTAAAACAAATAATAAGAATAGTTTAAGTGATTTCGATTAGACAAAGAATGCAAACATTCATGTATCCACAGCAGCAGTTTCTAATAATACTGTGGACATGACAAGAAACAAGAGAAAGAACAGGAAAGAGAAGATTAGCTGCTTTTGAATAAAAACCATCTATCCTTGCCACGATCAACACCCTACGTGCTCCTGAGACATCCTGCTCTCTTGTTACATACACCAATTGGGGGGAGGGCAATATTTCAGGGATTTACAGCCTTTCTTTTATTCTGAGAGTCAGACATTGGTTGAGACTTTATTATGAGTTTTGACCCCTGGGCCTAGTAAAACTGCTGAGCTGATAAAGAACCGCAATCGCCTTTTAATTTGATTAAAACTATAATAAACTCTAAAATTGCTGTTGCAAGGTTTTTTTCTTTCTTGCAGTGATATAATATTTCGCACTCATGCCTGCTGGGCTGTGAAGCTCACTAAAATCAATACACTGTACATGGATAGTTCCTGTTGTTAATAATATCTAAATTTAAAGATGTGTGCATTTTTCTGCATGTTCTGCATTTTAAAGCTCAACTAATCAATATGACTACATGTAATGTGAAAGGGGTCGCTTACAGTAAGGAACCCACAGCAAATTATTCTTTTTTAGCCTCTTTTAGCTCACAGTTTTGGTTTGATTTATTGTTGTTCAGCCTCAATGTTTTCAGAAGCAGCAGGCAGGCCATTGAAATTGTGAATGGGGTTGGCATGTCCCCTCCGTTTTTTAGGGTTTTAGTTTGATTTACTCACTTAAATCTCTCTAAACTGAATTTTTGGACAGTCCAGCTGCCAAAATCCACAGGAGAGAAGAAAGATGTAGATTAAAATGTTTACATGTTCATCTAGGTTGCTTTCAAATAATACCGTGCATTCAAAGTAATTAAGCTCCACAACAGCAGCAAGAAATTTGCAGACTTTGTTTGGCTCGGGATTTGCCTTTGAGACTCGATTTATGCTACTACTATACCCTCTGTAGAGTTCTGTTATTATTTATAGTCAATCTTCCCCTAAAAAAATCAGACCCCTCTTAGCAAATATTTCAAGTGGGATTAAGTAAAAAAATTTATTGAATGAATTTTTATTGGACTACTATTATCTGGGGAAGCATGATAACCAATTCCATCCAATATCTTATTTGCTAGATTTATATAAATATATTAACACAGTCTCTTGAGGAGACCAAACAGAGCTAAAAGGAATTAGATATTGAATTTGCATTCATCAGGTGGCCAGAAGCATGACTCCAAATGATTGATTATGTTGCTTTGTGTCTGCCAGATGTGTAAATAGCTACTATATGCTAACATGTTTGCCATAGCAACGTCAGAAGGCGTTATTTTGTCAGAAGTGTGTTTGAGGTGATCGTCTTCCCTACAAGTGGCCAAAAAAGAATGAATCAATGGAGCATTAATTAAAATGGTGTTACTGGACTGCAATGAACTTTTTTGTTCTTTTTATTGAACAGTCAACTGTAAAGAGATAGAAGAGGAAATAAGAGAGGGAGAGAGAGAGATGGGGAATGACTTGCAACAAAGGTCCCCAGTTTGCATCTGCGCACAGTGCGGGTTTGGTCAGAATCTTACTCCTTGGGCACACCGCTTGTTTAGACTTTTTGTCTTTGCTGTTTGTGTTTGTTATGTGCTCTTAGAAATACATGTACGGGTCCCTGCAGGCATGTATTTGTGGTTTGTGTTCATGGATGTGTGCATTTCAGTGTAGTAGTACAGTGTGTGTGTCATTGCCTGTGTGCTTTTGTGGGGCGTCTCAGACTAAATACTGGCTGTGGGTTGCAAAAATGGATCCCCAGTTACCAGACAAAGGAATGAAGGAAAAGTGCGATGCCTCTATGAGTGTGTGCATCTGTGTATGTTGTGTGTGCTGGCAGTGTCCCTGTGGTCCAGGGGTTCAGGTGTTAATGTCCACTGATGTGTCTAATTGCTGTCCTCATGAGGAGGGGTTGAGGGTGGGGTGTTGGGAAGAGTGGAGAGGCATTGATTTGGGAGGAGGAGGAGGAGGAAGAAGCAGGGAGGCATGTGAGCTGGAGAGGGAAGAATGAGGTGGAATGAATGACAGGGATGCTGTAAGGAGAAGGGAGCTCTGCCAGAATTACAATTTCAACCCTCCTCTCTCTCCTCCTTCCCTGCATTTCCTGCATACTCCTTTGACTTTCCCTTTTTCTTCATTAACTTCCTCTCTCCTCCCCTTTCCCTTTTCCTCCTTGTCTTCCTCTCATTTCACTCTCTCCCTCCTTGCCTTCTCTTCTTCCCCTTGTCCCTCCCTTTCACTCCCCCATCTCTCTCTCCCTTCTCTCTCTCCCTCTGTACCACTGTCTCCTCATCTCTCCACCAGCTGCAGTGCAGAGATCTCCGCCGAGGCCCCCGTCAGGCTGTCAGGTGACCGGGACGGAGGCTGTGACATCACCGCCCCCTCGACCGACTGTCAGCCCTCCGCCGTTGCCATGGCAACGTCGGCAACGGCCTGCGGAACCGAGGCTGGCGACGAGACGCCTGCAGGAGGAGGAGGAAGAGAGGAAGCAGGAGAATGCGTAAGGATTCTTTTTCATTTTCTTTCCTCTTTTTTTTTCTGTCTTGAAATGTCTGTCGTCTGTGCATGTCTTTGCTCGACACCTTTCATTGTTGCTTCGTAGTGTACAGAAACACAAAGATCTATTGGTATTCGAGGATGACTGGGACAAGCAAGGGGACTGCGACACATAGCCACATGCACATCACTCACACATACTGATGCAGAGGTATTTGTTGAGACAAGAACGAGCATGCAACGCTCTATCTTCCAGCAGCAGCTCGACATCTGACGATGCAGTAAAAAAAGAGGATCAAGCTCCCCTCCAGCAGCTGGCTGCTGGTAACTCAGCATTTTATTCCTGCTCTCTGCATGGCTCCTCTCCACTGACTGGCTGCAGCTTGACACCAGCCTCAGCTGCAACTAGCATTGTGCTCCTCTCTGTGCATCTGCAGAACAGAAGAGCCCGACTGACATGGAGCCACATCTTGCTTGCATGCTACGAGGCTGTAGGTAGTTTAGAGAACAGATGTCGAGGTGCGTTTGCTTCTTTCTTAATTTTTGGCTTGGAATCCATAATGGAGCCTGCCTCTGCATTCCCAAAGTAAGGGCTGCAATTTGATAATTCAGCGGAACATGAATTATTCTCCTTCATTTTACCTGATAGCTGCAGGCTGGATATCATGTTGTTTTCTGGTATAGAGTGATGAAAACCTTTCTGTGCCTTTCAGTCATGTGAAACTGTTAGTTGAGAACTGTCAACGTTTGTGGAGGTAAACCTTGATGCAAATCCAATAACACCAAATGCGATGGAAATGGGTGATGCCTCTGGGATGAGGAGTTGCGTGTCACAGCAATGACCTTTTAACTTCCCACCTTAGGTCAACTCCCAGGGGCTTGATAAAATGATTTTACAAGCCACCTGAGGAGTGTTTGTCCATGCAGAACGCTGCAGTGTGTCTGGGAATTCCCCGCTTTACACACAAAAAAAATAAAAAATAAGAACAAGCCAGGACTTGCTTTTAGTTGTCAAACGGGGAACGTCTCTCGTCTTTAAGGCTGGGTGGTTTCAAGTTGTGATCAGAGTGGATTTTTGGATGTGCGGCCTTGTTGTGTTTAGAGTCTGTTACAAGACTTGGCAGACGATTAGTGCTGCGTCTCAGTATGAAATCTGGATTCTTGTCAGTTCGGCAAGCTGGGATCAGAGAGATAACCAAGGTTTGTTATGTAATGATGTCATGACAGTGAATATGGGGACATCACACAGATACACAAGCTGTGATTATCATCATTCTCACCTTATCTCATCGGAGAGTTTTGCCTATTTTCATCTGTCGCTATAGCAACGTGACCATTTGATTGACACACGTGTCTTCCAACCGGCAGCACACCGGTCTGGGCTGCAGGCGCTCCAGCTCAGATGCAGCCTATGAGCTGGCTGAGACGGTGAGGGCCCAGCGCGAGTGCCGTCTCCGGCCCCACTACAGTGACCCTATGCCAGCCGACGCCTCCAAGCGCAAACAATTGGAGATGAAGATCGCTGCCGCCGCCAGACTCCATGGTCATCGCAGAGACCGCGACAGAGACCGAGACAGTGGTGAGTACATGACACAACTATTTCTGTTTCTTTGTTGTCACAGTGTTTGACCTCTTTTCTTTTTTTACAGTTACCAATGTGTAATTTAAGAAACAGAAAATGTTTACATATTTTTTTATCTGCACATGGATTCAAATCTGCATCAAAACCCCATAGACAGGTATGCTGATTGGCTTAAGGTTAAACTAAGTTTTAAAGAATTGTAAGTGAATCAGTAATTGTAACTGAAGCATCACATATTAGTGATATTCCAACCAATTTTACAGGACTGCTGGACATTAGTATGTGCATGTGTCAACAAGAAATTTGAATTTTATGTCAAGTAGGCACGCAAACGAATGTGGAAGCCACTAAGAAAAAAGTTGGCATGTGAAAAACACACTCTGGTTTGGCCAAATGTTTTATGTACAAATCTGAAGAAGATTCGCTTCCAGAAAAAAATTAGAATTTTGTTTCTACACCTCATGGCACAAGGGTTGTGCGCTTTATAAATGGTACCATACCACAGTGATTCATAAGGCCATCGATCATTCCTTGGTCCTTAAGCCTAACTTTCTACCAAACTTCATTAAATCTGTTTTAAAGAGTACTCCAGTGATTTAGTATTGAGGGGCTGGCAAAAGACAGATGAACAAAAGAATGGTCAAGCTCCAATACTGCTGGATCCATTTCCCATAATCTATCTCAGGTCTTTTAAAACTCCACTCTTCTAGTTTGCAACCCAGACTTTTTGTTAAGTGTGAAGTCTCCAAGCTTGGATAACCCTGATGACATCATTATAGCATCATCTGAATAGAAAGCTCCTTCAGTGCCACAAAAGATGGCTTTTATCACAACGTGAATGGTTCTCCTTGTGTCTAGCTAAACTAATAATAAAACACATTTGTCCAAAAACAGGCTTTGACCCTTTGTATCCGGGGTTATGCCTTGATACTTCCTTCCTGTGAAGAACTACACCCAGCCCTCTCTGTTCATACATGTAATTATGACTGATACTGTAATTACAGAACTCCATGTCCTTATTACATCTCCCTCACCTCATCAGGGAAGGTGACGCTTCCTAATTTGTGAATGAACCTCCAACCAAGCCTGGCATTTTCCAATCTGTTCAATTTAAAAAAGATTAAGCATTGTTTCAGCATCTCTTATGCAACTGTGTCGTGCTGGTCTCTGGATATGTCGGCCTTTGCAACCAGTCCTCACCTCCCCCACCAAACACACAGACGTACAGAGCTCCCCTGCTAATAGCGTGCTCTTCCCTGTCAGCAGAAGCTCTTTGGCACTGGACGCTGTCCACAGAGTGTCAGTCAATATGGCATATGCTAATGATGACTTTGTTGCTCTTTCCAGTGGATAAAAGTGATACTGACTAGAAATTGATTTTTTTCTCAGTGCCAAAAACAAAATCATCAACCAATGGTTTAATATTAATACATAATCAACATAGAATCTGTATAATGAACCATATGCTTGAATGATACATTTAAAACCTTAGCAACCAAGCAAACATGCACATACAGTCTGTCTGTCTCCAAACACACACACGCACAATAGTATTGACATGCATACAGACAAAGGTTAAGTGCTTGACTGGAGGGTTAGGGATCTAATTATTGGAGAAAGATGATATCAATTATAGTTTCTTCATTTTGACATGACCAGTAATGACAACTCCAGATTAAATGGGCGCTCATTAGGGAAGCTGCTATTAATGCTTTGTGTGTGTGCATGCGTGTGCCTCCATGCAATGTGAATAACAAAGACTGTAGAGAGTGCATCATGAGCACTAATAAATCTGACCATCACCTCCCTCCCCAGCTCCAGCAGCAATTCGTGGTCGCTCAGAGCCCCCTGGTGAGGAACGCCAGGCGGGTCTGGGTGTGACTCGGTCCGGGCAGCATCGCTGGAGCACCATTAGCAGTCTGAGTGCCGACAGCGGAGTGGTGGGGCTTAGTGATGACCGGGAGGAGGAGGAGAGCGAGCCTCGTCGTTACCGCAAAAGCCGGGGAGCCGAGGTGGAACGGGTGGACAGCGGCATTGGGCCAGGTCTGTCCCGTACCTGGAAGAGACCATCTGCTTCCCTAAGAGCCTGGGAAGCCCAGAGACCCTGTCCAGACTGTGGACTGAGGGATGGCGCCTCCAAAGAGCGAGGAGAACGCATGTGTGAACGTTGCTCCAAGTTGCGTACCGAGCGCAAGGAAGCCATCCTGGAGTTTCTGAACACAGAGTCGAGCTACGGCGAAGACCTGCGGATCATCAAGGAGGAGTTTTATGGCCCCATGCAGAGTGCTGGGCTGCTGACAGCTGAGCAGCTCGCTGTGGTATTCGGTAACGTTCAGGAGCTGATAGACGTTAACGACCGATTCACTGAACATCTGCAGGACAGCATCGACCAGGCTTTTGACCAGGTGACTCTCTCTCTCTCTCTCTCTCTCTCTCTCTCTCTCTCTCTCTCTCTCTCTCTCTCTCTCTCTCTCTCTCTCTCTGACACACATAAAAAGGGCTTAAACAAGGTGGTCTGATTTTTAATGCTCTTATAAGCTTTGCACACCTACTGGTATTACATAAGTTACCTTCAGGGTCATATTTATAAATGCATTACATGGCATGGTTTCTTTAGAGCGCAACTGCCTACAGTATATAGTTATAATGTATTCTTAAGTAAGGAGGCTTTTCACACATGTGACCCACAGGTTTACTTACAAGCACACACAGAGACAGAATCCCAGTTGTCACAATTATAATTTTTAATACAACAACAAAATCAATCTTACTAACTGTCAAGCAGAAGAAATGTCTACCACAACAGTTAAAATAGGAGGGACCATAGCAAAGACAAAAAGTGGTTTTCTAGATTTCAAAAGCCGCCGTTTTGGCCGCTAGTAAATGTTACTTCAAAGCGCGGGGTACTTCCGGTCGGCTCGGAGGCATTGCGAGGCTACCCAGCCGACCAATCACAGAGAGCTACAAGGAACCGGCGCGAAAAATGGAGTCAGAGTAGAGTGTGGAGAACGAAGAAGACACAAGAGGAGTTGTGAATAGGAAAAGGAAGAAGGATAGTGATTCAAGTGATGGCAGCCATCAACAGATGAGAGGTTTCAAGTAGGAATGATAGCAGTGACAAGAACGGATGGGATCTTCAAGGACTCGCACGAGGTTGGAAAGTTTGTTGAGATGTTCGGTCCATCAAAATAACAAGGAGTGGGATGGTTGTCATTGACTGTGTTTCAAGGCATCAGAGAGACCAAGCGTTGAGGATTAAAATGTATAAAGATTTCAGCTGTTTGAAATGCTTCCCACTCGGGGGGAAAAAACAAAAAGAAAGGAGTAATAAGTGGCGTACCGCTGTCAGTGGAAGACGAGGACTTTTGGAACACTGAAAATGTCTGTGAGGCGAGAAGACTGACAAGATTCCGTCAAGGAGAAATGGAGGAAAGTAATTCAGTGTGCCTGACTTTTGTGGGAGATTTACCTGAGAGGGTCTATCTAGACTACATATAGGCGTTTTTTGACCAAAAGTACCAGGGACTTTCAAGGAACTAAAAGGTTCCTTCAGTGCGTTTCCACCGTGGTCTAAAGACAAAGAGCAAAAGATTAGGCAGATTAACCAGCTGACGTAGGCTGTAGGCCTGGCTGTACACAGCGATGCACAGGCATCATCATTTGTAACCACTATCCACGAGCAGCATTTATAAATGAACATCAGATTTGACTGGATATAATGAAAAACTATAGGCATAGCTTGACCATTAAAGCAGCTTTTTTTGTGTGGGAGCTATAATGAGGAGACACGCGATAAAGTTTGTTACACATTTAATAACAAACTGGATAAGACCATAAAGTTCTTACAATAACTCCAGCACAGAGAAAGCAGCACAAAAATAAAATTGCGACAGTTTGGAAGGTTATTAAAACATTTCCAGTGACAAGAGCTGCAGCTCAGCTGCAAGGCAAGCCCAGTCCCCATGGAAAGGACTACCCCCCTTGCATTTATTGCTATGGTGGTTAACTGTGCTGTGGAAATTAAGAACAAGTCAGAAAGGATCAAGATGGTACTGGATGCAGCAAGGAGATTCCTAGGCATTGCAGACATATAAGGGGAAGAAATAGACACAACTCTGAGGGAAGGATTTACATCATCTCAGACTATTGAGTCTGACTCATAGAACCCAACAATGTACGGACAACGGAAGGGGAGAACATTGGGTAGTAACTGTAAATATATCGCATTGTTGGGCTTCTGTAAATACGGACGGAGTACGGTCTAGACCTGCTCTTTTATGAAAAGCGCTGTGAGATAACTGTTGTTGTGATTTGGCGCTATATAAATAAAATTGAATAAATTGAATTGAATTGGGAAACCATTTCATTCAGTAGGTGGCGGTAATGCAAAACTTTGGATGTCAACCGCCACAAAACCCCAAAGAAGAAGAAGAAGAATGTGAATAACGAATAGAGGAGGGCAGCAATACCCTACAGATGCGTCTAGTCTGCCGGAAGGAAGGCTTATGGTCCACGTCGCCTCGAAGTGTTACATTTTTGAGGAGGTGCACGTCAGGCTACGGCGTAGGTGACTGACGGTATAGGGGCTACGTGGGGGCTACGCCGTCGCAGAAGTATAAATTGCATTTAACTCTGAGAGCAGCGCAACTAGGTCTGTTTATGTCTTGGTTGCTTGTCAGACTGTGACTGAACAATATTAGAGTGAAAAACAACTATTTATTACCTTTGATACACGCCGACGGTCAGTGATGCTTATGAACTGCAGCATGGAAATGATAACTACGTCGCGCGTGCACGAAATGAAACTCGCGTATCCGGCTGAGCGGTGCTACAGTCCACAGCCGGACTTTATTGCATTCCAGCAGCAACATTAGTGAGACCAGACAGCACACAGATGTGATGGCACTCCTCATAGGCCCACATCATTTTAAAACAAGGCAGTGATTATCTGTCTCTCAGTGAAGGTTTAGTTACAACTATGAACTAATGCAAGATGGAAAGCAGTGGATTCACATTGACTATTACAATGTTGATTAGTGGGGCATACTGGGCAATATGGATGTAGACTACATCTTTCAGTAAATAATATCACTTATAACATCACTTATTCGAGTCATATAAATTAGAGCTGGACAATAAAACAATAGCCTAACAATAATTCCAACAGTATAATTGTCAGATTTGTGATCCACCTGTTAAGTGATTTTCATGGTCTGACCATAAAGAATAGTTTAAACCACAATATCTGGTTTCTTCAGCTTTCACTAAGGAGCAAAAAATAACCTTTAAACTCGATAGAAATCATGATTGACATTTATCTTGATAATTATCGATATTGAATGATAAAAGGAAACCCGGGAGCCAGTTTGTATGGGCCTGATGAGTTGATAACATTAATATCTAGCAAGTATAGATATCTATTATTTACAGGGGCTATGCTTAAATTTGTCAGTAGAGTAGATGCTGGATCATAAACCAGTACGAGCACAGTTGATCCAAATTCAGTACCATCACAGCCAGAGATGTACAGCCAGCAGCAGTCTTAACAGACTTTATGAGGATTTTTCTAGAAGAGGTTTCCATTCAGGCTTATAACAGAGACAGACTGTTTTAAAGGTAGTAGTGAGAGCAATGCAGTGTCAGGTGTGACTGTGCAGCAGTGGCAAATTGTTTACATGGCTCACAGGTAACATAGCATACATAAAATATATGTATGCCTTTGCTCTAGTCAAATCCCTTTCTGACATGACCAATATTAATGGGCTAAACAAGGTAAGCTGGTAAGGCACATACTAACACATTTCTTACACTTCAATCAAAACTTTACATGAGGGATGTGTGTTTATGGTCAGTAGAGCATAATGAAGTGTAAGCAATAAGAAAATTTCACCAGAATGCAGGAAATTAAGTGTTTAATGTTAAAAATGTGGTGGGGGAGAGATTGTTTGATCAAATGCTTTTTCCAAGGTCAAAACAGCCAACATGGATAAGATGTGCTCTTTTGCCTTGTCAGTCCTGCTGCCTCACTGTTCACCTGAATGCCACTGTATGCTGTAACTGAATTAAGAACACTGGTGTCAAAGGTTGAGTTGGAGATGATCATTCATGCTTTTATTTCCTCTCATTTAGATTACTGTAACAGTCTTTTTACTTGTTTGAGCAAGTTGCCTCTGGAACTCCATCCCCACAGATATCCGAAATGCTCCCTCTCTGGACACTTTCAAAAACCTCCTAAAAATCCATCTCTTTATAAAGGCATTCAACCCTGAATGACTTTTATTGCGCTGTCTCTGTAGTTATGTGTAAAGCGTCCTTGGGTCCCGTTAAAGGCGCTATAAAAGTTATTATTAAATATTTGTGCCAAATTTAACAATTTTGGTGAATTTTACTGGTAGCAGATCTTTGAGACACGATAATAAAACAACGATTTGTTAAAACCAATTGTTTCCAAGTGCAAGATGTAAATTAGTCGAACATTGACATTTTGTCTCATGTGGTTTGACCCCAGGGAGATGAAGATCTGCTGACTGTGTACATAGGAGAGATCTTTCTGGAGTTTGTCAACATGCTGCCTGCCTTCCAGACCTACTGCCTGCAGCAGTCTACCTCGGTCAACATGCTCAACACGCTGGAGAAGGAGAAAGAACTGCTCAGGTACACACCAAATACCATCATTCTTTTTCCAGTTAGCCTGTGAGCTGAAAAAGTTACTCTGGGAGCTTTCTCTAGTTCTTGCCACGGCTCTTCTGTATAATTCTTAATGGAAAAGACAGTGGGTTATCACTTATTCAAAAGAAGTTCTATTTTGAGAGTAGAGCTGCAATGATTCATATTTTTAGACAGAACCACAGCTCAGCCATGAGTCATGCTGCCTTTTGATTCACATTAATCAAGTTTTCCCAGGACATGCACAGAGTATCTCTGTTTTCAACTTAATTTTGTCTCTTTTGTCTTCTCAGAATCTTCCTGGATGTTTCCCAGAATGACAACACGGCACTGCGTCGTATGAACTTGCGCTCCTTCCTCATGGCACCCCTCCAGCGAGTGACTAAATACCCGCTTCTATTGAGCCGCATCATTAAAGTCACTCCCGAATGTCACCCCGACTATGCACGTCTCCGTGAGGCTAAGAGTCGGGTAGAATCCCATTTGGAGCACATCAACATGAAGACCAAGCAGGAGGGCAACGGCGTCACCTGGTCCCTCCGCTCATTCCGCCGTGACAGCCGCAAAAACCGGGAGGTCATCAACATCGAGATGCGAGAGGTATCAATGAAGACCGTGGGCTGGGCGAGAGAAAACACACGATTTGTCATGGAGGGTCCCCTCCAGTTGTCCCAGCCACCAGATGGTCAGTGGATGAAAAAAGGGCAGCAAGGCCCTCAAGTTTCAAAATGTCCAGAGTCTGCTGATGGTGAGCACACAGCGGCCCAGTGAAGCCCCAGGACAGGGCACCGACCTGGGGGCAGGGGGGGACCAGGGGGAGGGGGGTGGAGAGAGCATTCGGGATGGAGTGCTGGTTCTAATCAAGGACAAGAGCAGTGGAAAGTTCACAGTGCTGAGAGAGCCCATACGTCTGGGTAACTGCGTGGTGTCAACAGATCCGGACTGTGAGGACACATTTGAGGTGCTCGACATTCGTCGGGAGTCTTTCGTTTTCCGAGCCTCGGACAAATCTCGCACCCAGCAGTGGTTCCATCAGATTAAGAGATATGCCCGAGACTTGGGCACCTGGAGAAAAAGACGCAATGCTTTGCCCAACATCATGATCAACACAAACCAGACCCGCTCCTGAGACCAACTGTCCCCAGCCTTTGTTACACTGTAAATAACCCAAATCCTTGTACAGCAAATCTAAACTGACAACAAGAAACGTTTGAATGACGCCACTGTTATAACATGTTAGACTTCAGTAAAATAAAATCTTCCTCAAAGTCTCGGAAGGGTAAGAAAAAGATCTAGCACTTTTTTCTTACAAAACAATAAGTGCAACATACTTTCATACAATCGTGTATGAAGATTTAAGTTGTTAACAAAAGATCTGATTCTTGGACAACCAAAAACCTTGGGCTTGTCAGCCTTGATTGTAAAGACTGTTTGCTCATGTAGAAAGAGCAGGGTTTAGGTAAATAAGGTGCGTTTGTTGGAAAGCATGACTGAACATGACTGATTGCAAAAACAAAAATTGTAATCTAATTTTTTTATACAAGACAGTCGAAAGGGGAAACATTTGTTTTAGTATGAAGAGATGGAAATGTGGTCAAGAGCTTTGTCCAGTGGTTTCTGTCGTCACTGCCCTCACCTCTCTGTGTGCCGCCCTCTACTGTATGTTGACGGTAGAGCAACTTTCACTGCCAGAGATGCAGTTGAGCAAAGCCTCCCCAGCAGGCTGAACATACCTCCTGTATCACTGTAAATGAGAAGTCACAAAACAGCAATAATCTCTACCAGTTTCAAAATAAGTAGCTACTGTATGTATTTAATTTCTCAAGATTTCCTTTGGCGTTCAGGTCTTTATTCTGCTCTAACGCGCGCTGTTACCTAGTGTCATGTGGCAGATTCAGGTCTCAAATCTGAACATGTTTGACATTGGTAAAGCTTCCCTTCATCATCCTTACACCAAGGAAGTCTCTGTCCCACTCAGTCACTGGAGTTAAGATAATGTTAGTGCCATGAACGCAGTTTGTGAGAAGTCTAGTCAGTCTCCTTTGTGTTAACATCATGTCAAACACCACAGTTTCCCCCCACGTGTTAAGTGCAGAGTTTTTCAGCCTTTGGTTCGGGACCCCATGTGGGGTTGCACGGATCGGGCCATGGGACAGATTATTTGATAGATCTATTTGTAGGGTTGCCACAAACAGTTATTTGCATTATCAATTAATCTGATCATTCGGTCTACAAAAATAGTGAAGAATGGCTTAGTTATTTAATTTACAAGTACAAACATTTCAGAGATCAAAATTGTGTCAATCAAACTAACCTATTTACTTATATCAGCACTGAGAGTTTGTAAAGAACTCGAATAGGTTTGAAATGAGTATACATATATATGCTATCTTTATATTGTCATACCATGAAATCTCTCTGGCTGCTGAGGTCATGACAATTTAGGCAATTTTATTTGACTCAAAAAAATAAACCCATCCCACCCATCTCGTCATGACATGGTTTTAACTGTGTGTTATGTGACCTAGCGATGAGCTGTTGTGCCTTGGTACTTGATTACTGTTATGCTAAAACATACTGAAATATTTGCAACATGTCACAGTAGCATTTATATCTGGGATCCGGACTAGACAGCCCTCTGTTGGCACTTAAGGACGATTTACAGGCAATATAATTATTCCTCTGACAGTGATCACCTGGTCCTCTCTTGTTTTAGTGTGTTTTCATTTATGAAAGCTTTTTGTTTAATGCACTTTATTATGATTCAGTAATAGAATGCTCTCCAGTGTAACATGTCATTTTTTTTATTCACAATTATTCATATTAGAAGGAACCTAGTTGACCGAAGCAGATTTCAGCAGGTCAACGCAATACAGTCATCAAACCAAATCCACTATTTAAGACTGATACTGTTTCATGTTTGATATAAAGTAGCACTAGAAGAGGTAGCAAATCACTGTGTTTTGGAGGGCAGGGCTGCTCAGCTCCACACCAATACTCGTGCGCTGTCGTAGGACATGGTTTCAACCCTTTCAACATATAAAAAAAACAAAGCCTGCTGAGTTGCATATGGTTTCTTTTGGTTTTGTGTTGCATTTGAAAGACCTAATGTATTATTTCCCCAATGTAATATATTGTGAATTATATTAAAAGATTTTAAACACAACCTTGCTTGTTGTATTTTTCTGTGCAATATGTAAATTTGTAAAATCTGATGAAGCTGCAAACGTAGAATGTAGAAATATATTTACAGTAATTTTAAGCATCTTTAGGACAACTGATTCAAAGACATGAATACATACAGTACAAGTGGAATGCACTTATCACAAGATGGAAAAGAGTGAAAGTGAATCATTTCTAGAAAATACAATCCAGCTCCACTACAGTATAGAAGCAAACAGAAGCGTGGATGTTGAGAGTAGAAACAAACCTGCCAAGACATTTAAGTGGAAAAAAAAACAAGAAAAACTGTTAACATGCAGTACATGACATTCTGACTACTTTGTATTTGCTCATGGAGTTCCAGAGAAAGCTTCACCTGACAATCAAAATTTTAAAAAGGCTCAACAGACATGTTTATTGGCACCGTTTGTTGAAAAAATTACCCCCCCCCCCCAACTAAACACAGTAGCTTTATGTCATATGAAGTGCATCTTTATCATTTCTTTGGCTCTACCCCACCTGGAGCCTCATTTTAAAAAAATTAGGTAGCTGCTGTATATGCAGGTTAGGTGCTAATAATCAAAATCCAAACAAAGGCTTCTTCATGAAAGTAAGAAATGATCAAAATCTGGTAAGAATGCTGTAAGACATTCATTGGTTATTACTGCCTTCTGTATTTTTGGACTCTTGATTTACTCGTCTGATTGTTGCAAAAATATTCCCACATAAATGAGGCTCCTGGATTGCTGTATTTTTTTTGACAATAATTCAGTCCTAAGAAATGCCACCAGGCGTGGACTCATCTGGTGAACAACACAAACACAGTTCTTGGGGTTTTTTTTTGCAACTAAACATCACAAACATCGACAAAAAATAAGCTCTGCATGGATGGGACACTCCACTCTGATCTCCGCCTATCTTTTCCAATGAATTAAACATCAATATAATGTAAAGGTGACTGTGGCAAATTAGATCAAACAGTTGCAAAACAAACTCAGTGAAACAATAACATCAGATGAAGCTGAGATTTCTGAAAACCAGCAACAAACTGAACCTTTCAATCTAAAGCCACTGAACAAGGGTGCCAAGCTCAGTCGTCGTCTCTGCCACCCTTCTGACAGACTGCCATCCATCTAAAGCACTTCTCACGCATGCATTCGCACAAACACACACTCACACAGTCTGTCTTCAGCTGCTGGGGCCTCAGGTGGATCCCTGGGTTTTGCCTTCCCAGTGGGGTAAGGTGCAGCAGCCGTGGAGAGGTCCCTCCTCCTTCTCCTCCGTCTCCTACAGCCATTCAACACCTCTCAGCTCTACTTGTCCATGCCAGACTCTGGCTCCTTGGCCAGGCCGCGAATTGACAGGTCATAAACCACCTCCTCGATCTTCTTCACGTCATACTTGAGGCCGTCGTAGCGCTTCCGCAGCGGGTCATTCTTCAGGTTGAGCAGGCGGAAGCCTGAGTCCAGCTCGTTGATGAAGTTGGAGATGCGGAGCGGCCGGGTGTAGTCTCCTGCTGTGACACTGTTTACAGCCAACCGTGACTGGAGGAAGAAACAACAGCACAGATCAAGCGCTTGAAATAACAGCCGTTAAATTGTGAGAGTTTTGTCCTTGATATCTGACAGGTCTTTGGTCACCAGAGTTCTAGGTCATACGTCGGTGGACATGTCTCACAGTGTGCTCTAAGACCACTGTTGTGGTTTCACAACCAGATATTTCACCATGTTTCTCTCATGACTTTCAACTTTGATCTGCTACAGCACAAACATGCAGTGTATAGGGGGCCCTTAAAGAGTTCCAGGACAAAGGGGAACCCTGATGTATGATTCTATTTTAATAGGCAACGGAGTTACAATTAGGGATGAAATGATTACCGGTTTAACGGTAAACCATGGTAAAATTCCCAAAAGTTATTATTACCGTACACATTTTAATTACCATGATAACTGGGTACGGTTAATATTATATAATCTCACGGCAAACACTGTCCAGCGTCTCCCAGAAGCAGGCGCGCATGCGCAGAATGCAACGTGGGTTTGTTTGGGTCAATGACAAGACGGCGGAAGACAGAGCTGCGGAGATTTTTCAGTCACTCTGAAGTCTGGTCGTAGTTTAGTTTTTAAGAGAGTGCTGAGGGAAACTTGATTGAAGAAAACCTTATAGTGAACGCAGGGTGAGTTAACTTTTAACTTTGGTTTGTCTCTCTGACTTGCTAACAGCGTGTAAACTGAAGCTCTCAGTGTTGCTGCTCTCGTAAAGACGCTACACGTTCTGTTGCTGTGTGTGTCGGCAGAATCTATTCGTCCACTGCACATGATGACACGTTACGCAGTTTAGTCAACCAACCAGCATATCTAGAAACGCTACAGACTGCTCTGTATTTATCAGTTTTGGGGCTCATTGCAGTTACCATCACTGTCTTCTAAAGACTTATTTGTTTTCATGTAATTGTCCACAGGGTCATTGTATTACCTATATCATAAAATCTTGATAATGCACACGTAGATGATTTTCACATGTTTACAAATGTATTTGGTGGCATTTTATTTTTTATGCAAACAAAATGGCAATAATAGTATTTGTAGTTTTCAATATAAAACTTGTTGAAATGGTTTCAGTGTGTGTATCAGTACGCTTTAATATTTTTCGGCACATTTTTACAATAGCGTAATAATACTGATAACTGTGATAATTTGGGTCACTATAATCGTGATATGAAATTTTCATACCGTTTCATCCCTAGTTAGAATCATTGTTCTAGCCTGAGTATATTGTTGGTGCACCAGAGTAATCGACAGTAGACTCACCAGTTCACTAGCCATGATCAGCACCCCTGCCAGGTAGTCCTCCACATCCAGGTGAAAGCCTTTCTCTCGCACCACTTCAACTGTAAGGTGAAAAGTACAGAGAATTTTATTGTATTTTTTTTAGTAAAGTCGCATTCCTAAGTGAGAGTTACACACTAACTGGCGACTAGACACTTACTGCCGAGTATCTGGGCCACTTCCTCTCGAACCACAAGAGTTTCAGTCTCCAGGTAGACAACAAAGGCTGCTAAGAAAGCCAAACGCTGCAGGACAAACCGCCAATGTTCATGGAACCTAAAGTGGGATCACACAGGTAAGAGAGAGATAAAACACTTTATCTATATCCACCCTTTATCAATTAATTCTGCTTTCTAGGGAGTTCTGGGTACTTAAATTAAAATAAATGTATAAAACAGTTAGTAAGTCTGCTGGTCAAGTAACTGTTCTGTCCTGAATAAAACAAAATTTAGTTTAGTACACTTAGTAACTTCTCACACAAACACACATTTGATTAGCATTTCACTTCATGCATTTCTTAAGTCTATGACTTAAGATAAATTTTCGGTTATTTCATGCTACAGCCTTAAAGTTGAGCTCCAGCTCAACAATTTCACAGTTGGATGAAAGGTTTATATATACTCAGCATAAGGAAATTAATCCAATCTAAAATTCTGAATTAGGTAGCAGAAAAAATGCAAACATTGTGAAAAGTGGTTCCTACCTGTAATACTGCTCCACAGGAAATTTTGTTTTTAGGTCTGCAATTTGTGTCCTGACTGTGCTGAACAACTCCCGTGCCTTTGCACATTTACTGGGAACTAATGGGAGAAAATAAAAAATAAGACTCATTTTTAATATCAAAAAGTCTCATTTGGAGAGACAAACATTATACAGTACCCGTCAAAACAGGGCATACTGTGTCAAACACTCACTTTCTTTGAATCCAGATGGCTGGTGGACACTCTGGAGTACCGTTAGTATTTCCCTGGCAGTCTGCTCCAATGTCTGGACCACCTTACGGATATCCTGCAGCAAAGTCCATCAAGTGTAAGTGTTTTCTTAATAGAATATAATTCAATTAAGGCAATAAAACAATCATGATGATTATTGCGATATAATTTACCTCAATAAAAATATAACAAATGTTCAAGAAATGATTGATTTAATTCATTTGAATCACGAACGAATTAGCACTTAATTTTCAGATTTCCGTCATCATTGTTCTGAATGAATGTTCTACATCAGATTTATTGAGTGATCCACTGGCATCAAGTATTTCCACAATTAACCATCTAGTTTCTTCAACTTTGACTCAGGAACAAATATAAGCGTTTAAATTTGAACAGAATAATGATTTGACATTAATTGTAATAATTATCGATATCGACTATGATTTTTTGTTTATCGTGATAACATTTTTGGCCATATCTCCCAGCCATAAATTCAATTTAACGTATCTTCTATTAACAACTATTCTACCCCACCTCCCCCAAAATCACACACTTTAAGTGGATCACAGGCACAAAAAAAGCTCATGTCTCGATGTGCCCAGTATATCCTTCCGTTAACTGAGACAGTTAGCTGCTAACTAGCTAGCTAACTGTCTCTGAGAGCTAATGCTGGTGCAGCGCTGCAGCTGTCGTGCTGCTGCTCATTCATACCTCTCTGACGTCCTGGTCGGCGCTCAGGAAGCCCTGAATATAACTGAACATCTCGGTCACAGACATTTCTGATCAGAGTCAGGCTGTCCGGGTGATGCAGATAATGAGCCGTTTGCAGCTAAATCATAAAAAACATCAACGTGCTCGAGAGCCGACTCCGTGCTTCGTGTGGCGCGTGGCGATGACGTCATCCCTTCCAACGTCACGTCGGTGTCTCTCCAGTAAAAACAAAAAAAAAGTCTCTCCAGTAAAAGCAATTTCTCATTCTTTTTGAACGAACTGCAAATGTTTTGACGCGTTTATCCAAATGATTATGTATAATTATCTAAATTATCAATTGCTTATTTCATGTTGATCACAATGTAGGCCTATTATACTCTACTGGTGCTCTGTTGAATAGTCTTACCCCCCAAAACATCTAGCAATAAGTTCATTGTACAAATCACTACATGCAGAATGCAAGAATCTGAGGCTGACAACTTCAGCCTAAGGGGTGTTTACATTTCTTATTTTGTTTTTTGTTTTTCTGTTGTGCTATGCAGTGCTGTAAAACAGTCCAGTCTTTTTTTCTTTTCTGCATCACATTGACATGCTCTGTTGACAGATTACAGTACATACAGGAAAAGGGAATCCAATCTCTTTCAGTGTAATTTTGTGCTACTGAAAACTGATATAGGCCTATATGCCATACAGAAAAAGTGCAGCCTTGTGCCATAGGTTACTCAGAAAATATCTACAGAGTAGCCTACATTGTTATACTGACAACATAGCTAAACATTTTGACTATCTTGTATGTAAACAATGACACTCAGAATCAGTCAGAATCTGAATCAGAATCTGCTTTTATTGCCAGGTATATGTACTCATACGAGGAATTTGACTCAAGATTGTACATTGCTTACGTTGTGCTTACTTATACATTAATACAATTATAAAATAAGATAAATAAAATCAGACACAGGCTACAGTATAGAGAACACAATAAATACACACTATAAACAGAAACAAAAACAGTATAGACTGATTGAGACAATAGTGCACTGAGGAGAGTGCAAAGGATGCAGGAGTAAATTATTATTATCATAATAATTACTATTATGTATATGTCAGAGGTGGATATGATATACAGGTAGACATACATGTATACATGGACACAGTGTGATGGAGCAAAGGATGCTGGAATAAATAAGTATTATGTGCAGGTGTTATGTACTTGAGGTAGGTGGATTTGGTATACAGTATATACAATATACAAAATGACAATATGAACAAGAACAGCACTGAAATAGAGAATGATGAATAAATAATAAGTGGTGACCAGTAAACAGGTGGCTGATTAGAGGCAGAGTTACTGGGTTATTGCACAGGAATTGATCCTGAGTCAGAAATCAGCTGTTCATCAGAGTGATGGCTTGTGGGATGAAACTGTTCCTGAGTCTGTTGGTTTTGGCGTACAGTGCGTACAGGTTGTGTCCTGGCTGAGATGGATCTGCATTGATGTTTCCTGCCCATTTCCTGACTCTGGAAATGTATAAGTCCTGAATGGAGGGCAGGTTGGCACCGATGATCTTTTCTGCTGTCCTATCTAGTAGTCTGTCCTTGTCCTTTTTGGTGGCAGAGCCAAACCAGACAGTGATGGACGTGCAGAGGACAAACTGGATGATGGCTTTGTAGAAGTGGATCAGCAGGTCCTTGGGCAGGTTGAGCTTCCTGAGCTGGAGCAGGAAGTACATCCTCTGCTGGGCTTTCTTGATGATCGTGTCCATGTTGGGCTCCCACTTCAGGTCCTGGGATATAGTTTTAGTTTAGTTTTAGTTTATTTGTTTAGCACGTTTGGTACAAGTCCAGAACAATGCAAGGAGGGAACGAAGCCAGACTAGGCTTGTACAGAGTTCCACTCCTTTTTTTTGTGGAACCCAGAAACCTGAAGGATTCCACAGCAGACACAGGGCTGTTGAGTATGGTGATGGGGGGCAGAGTGGGGGGGCTCCTCCTGAAGTCCACGGTCATCTCCACAGTTTTGAGCGTGTTAAGCTGCAGGTTGTTCTGACTGCACCAGAGAGCCAGCTGATCAACCTCCCGTCTGTTGGCCGACTCATCACCGTCCCGGATGAGGCTGATGACCGTTGTGTCGTCAGCAAACTTCAGTTTTGACAGATGGGTCCCCTGAGGTGCAGTTGTTGGTGTAGAGGGAGAAGAGCAGTGGGAAGAGCACACACCCCTGGGGGGCGCCAGTGCTGATAGTCCGGGTGCTGGATGTGATGTTTCCCAGCCTCACCTGCTGACTCCTGTCAGTCAGGAAGTCTGTGATCCACTGACAGGTGGAGGCTGGCACAGAGAGCTGGGTGAGTTTGGTGCTGAGGATGTCTGGGATGATGGTGTTGAACGCCGAGCTGAAGTCCACGAACAGAAGAATCAGAATCAGAATCAGAAGGAGCTTTATTGCCAAGTAGTGTTTTACACATACGAGGAATTTGCTGTGGTGATAAGATGCTACACGTAGACAAACATACAGTTGACATAAATAAATGTAGAAATATATATAAATATGGAATGGAAGAACGAAGAAGAAGAAGAAGAAGATCCTTGCACAAGTCCCTGGAGAGTTGAGGTGTTGCAGGATGTAATGCAGACCCAAGTTGACAGCATCATCCACTGACCTGTTAGCCCTTTAGGCAAACTGCAGGGGGTCCAGCAGGGGGCCTGTAATGTCCTTCAGGTGGACCAACACCAGTCTTTCAAAGGACTTCAAGAATACAGATATCAGGACGACAGGCCTGCTGTCATTTAATCCAGAGATAGAGGGTTTTTTGGGGAACGGGATGATTGTGGAGCATTTAAAGCAGCAGGGAACGTCACACCGCTCCAGTGATTTGTGTGAAGATGGGGGCTATAGTTATTAATATTATAGGACTCTTAATAATAAAAGATATTTAAATGGCTCAACTTAAGAATTCATTATCAGCTATTTATTTTCATTCAGCCGCAGCTGTCAACTGTAATAACAATAAGAAAATCAAAGTTAATTCCCATTAATCTTCTACAACCGTTAGGCTTTACTACATTCCTTTAATCTATTATCACTATGACAGCCCACCAACAATGATGCCTATACTTTCCCCATCAATCATTTTCAGTAAGCTAATTATTTTTTTCATTAGCTTTCCAGCACACACTTTTACACAAGCTGTAATGTTTAACATAGTAACACACATTTCATGACATATAAAAATAAGAATAGTAATAAATTCTGTAATTTGTCTGTTGAACAAATTATGGCTACCTCTTTAAAGTGTGGTGTTAATCAAATTTAATTCAAGACAATGAAACCATAGTTCTTTTTACAAGTCGGGTCTTCAAGCAGGTGTGTGGTTTCATTCATGAACAGAAACGGCATTGTTTGCAGCTTGCAGGTAATACAATACACCACACCTTCTTCTCTGCTTGCCTGGGTTGATTCTGGTGGACAGACATGCTGCATTACCTCATTCACCCTGTTGATGGAGCCAAAGTAGCACACATGCTAATGTTACCTTCATGTGCTGCAAAAATAAAGCAACATTAAACGCGAAACAGTCTCACTCCTGCCCGCCCTATTTAGCCTAATTGATTCTTCATGTGGCAGAGTTTAACATAACTTTTTATTACAGTTGAAGAAGATTGCCAGAGAAATACTGGCAAAACTTATTACTTACTCCACACCCTTTAAATCCCTTTGTGTAGTAAGAATGAACGTTAACGGTGAGACTGCTGTTTGAAAATAACACAAATATCACCTCATTTTGGGATGGCAGAATTATTTCTGTTTTTTATAATTACCATTTATTTACTTAAGGGAACTATTTTATTATAATCAGTAGGCTGTGAAAAGCTTTCCCATAGACTGTATATAAAAAGGGCTACAGATTTTAGTACAGAGTGCAGCATTATGACTTATTATCTCATAATTATGAATAAGAAACGTTAAAACGTTAAAAAAACGTCAAAATCAAACTCCCATAGTAACTACAAATCTCGCTCATGCGCGGTTCATTTGTAGTTGTCAGATTTCCGACGGCTCCAGAAGGCATCATCTGAGAGCCCAGCTGACTCAGTAAAAACAGAGTCAGTCGCCTGTTGCTCCCAACTAGTTAAGCAGACACCCCATTGTAAGTGAGGAGTTAGAAACCCAGCTCACACTAAACTGTCTACTAGTTCATGTAACCGGCGGGTCTCAACCGTACTGTGTTTTAAAAATCCCCTGTTTTATTCGTTCCCTCTGCGCTTTGAACGATGCAGCTAAATGTTGTTCAGCCTACCCTTTGAGATGGAGAAAACCTCAGCAGAAGATGACTGCGTGGATTCAGGAGCCGAGACTGGAGGGTGAGTGAAGCCTCCGAGTTAATTACTAAAAAATGTTTAAACCTTTCAAAAGAATAATCTAGGCGTATTTGCATATTCATAGATTCTGGTTTGTTTGTTTTTTGTTGTTGTTGTTTTTTTTTTAGCAGAGTAGGCTACAGACAGTATAGCCTTGAGTTTTTTTTTACGAGGTAGGCTTAGTGAACCCTTTCGACACATTTTTAAATGAGGTTTGGTGTTACAAATCCCAGCGAAACCGGACCTGACAACTCGTAGGACAAAACAAAACAGACAGCAGAGCTTAATGTGATTTATGTTACATGTCTTACGCATTCATATCTACAAAAACGTTTTTATTATTATATCATTCTGGAAAGTTACGTTAGACCGCTGTGCTTATTTATCGTAGTCAATCATTGGAGGTCCTAAATTTTATTATCATGAGCCTATGATTATTATTTATGTGTGCTGCTACTCTTGGATAGAATCTAGTCACCAGCCCAGTTGTTAATGAGAGTGCAGTCACTGTAGATGAGCTTAATGCAAGAATGCTTTGACCTAAGAGAGTTAAATGAATTTATTGTTCCCTCTTTTTTCAGCCATTAGACAGAGATGTACCTCACTTTCTCCCGCGGTATGTCACTGCTGGATGTTGTGTAGTGTAGGACCTGTGTTTGTTGTTGTGTGTGTGTGTGTGTGGTGTGTGGTGGGGGGGGGGGGGGGGGGGGGGGATCATCAAAATCTGGCCTTGTGGTTTTAATTGTTTATATTAACTCATATTTACTTCAACATGGAAATCTGACTGGCCACAGGTTGGACAATCATCTAAGTACAGATTGAGGGGTCATTGTGGAATAAATAAAAGTCTTAAGTCATCCAGACCTGTTATTTCAGATACATACACATACAAAATATTAATACTGTATTGTTTTTATTATAGGGTCTTATTCCAGTGACATGTAGTACCAATTTCAAGCTCTGATAATCCTTGTGAAATTAATTTAATCAATATCACCCAGACTCTCTTACCTCCTATGTACCTTGAGATTGTCAGGATTAAAAGTGGTAGCACGTACAGTTTTAGGCGCCTATAATTCTGATATTAAAGAAAATGTAATTTAAAAATAGAGGCAAAAGGCACACAAACAACATTACAAGCACACATGTATATATTAGGATTAAGTCAATGATTGTTGAAATTTAATAAAGTAAGTTCATAAAAGTGTGTGACAGACAGAAACATTACAAAAGACAACAATAGTTCCTTTTACTCTTATATATTCTTAATAAGCTGGGAAAATTAATCTGACAGCAGCACACCAATGCCCTTGTTTTGAGAGTCACCTGGGACCATGCTGTTTCATTAGCTGTGAACTGGAACCAAATAACATGATGTGTGTTTCATGGGAAAATGGGAGCGGAGACCCATGTGGAAAGCGCTGATGTGAAAGGAAAAGCATGGGATGCCCAGCTGATAAACAGAGAGCCTCCACCTCCATCAGGTCACATCCTCTACCTTTTCTTCCTCACTCCACTTCCTGTTCAGCTCCCACATTCACTTTTTTTGGTAATTTCTCCTCACTTCAGACTGGCTCTGCCACCATCTCTTCTCCAATCGCAAATCACAGACTTCAGAGTGGCCTCATTATACTTTAAAGATAAGAAAGTGTATAACTTTCTTATGGTGTTTTTAAAGCCTGTCAGAACCGGCCCATGAGACCAAAAAAATGACAGAATTTGTTTTTAGTGACATATGCTTAAAGCTGCGATAATTAATGTGTTTATAATAACAATGGATCAAATGACTATGTGTAATGTGAAAGGGTCACTCGTAGTGGCAAAATCACGGTTCGTCCAAGTTCTGTGTTGTTGTATGCATAACAATAACAGTGGAGCAGATGTTGGCGATTAAATTCTTAGTTCTCAGGGTCCCTCCAACATCGCTAAAGTTAAAATCCATGTACAGTCTACCACATAAAGCTTATAAAGGAACAGCTTGTAAACCATAGTTATATATATATATAGATGAACAAATTGTAAGCAGTAGAAAACCAGGTAATAAGTAGGTTGAGCAAATACAGTAGAATATGTATGTACAGTACCAGTAAGTATAATGTAAGTATGGCAGTGGTGTACAGTGACATTCATGTATCATACAGTGCAAGTTAGTGATGAGCTTGAGAGCTCATAGTAAGGATTAGCGTCCTTATGGCCTGCAGGACATCGCTGTCCCTGAGCCTGGATCAGGGTTCGCCTGGTGTTGCAGAAAGAGATGCTACGGTATAGCAGAACAGTTAGTGGCTGATTATGATCTCTGATGAAAAACATCTGCGTTGGCCGGGAATCGAACCCGGGTCAACTGCTTGGAAGGCAGCTATGCTCACCACTATACCACCAACGCCTGTGTACTGAGGCTGTGCAATACTCTGCTCCTCTACAGTATAAAAGGCTTAGCATCTTTTGTTGTGGTTTTACAGCTTTACTGCACATTTACTGTTTGGTTTAGAGTCAGCTCTCATCACCCTCGTTTCCAGCAACAGCAGGCAGCTGTTTTCAGCAAACAAGCTCACGTAAACCCACTGTCCACGACCTACTCAGCACCAAACAGCAGACAGACAGCGACTAGCTGGTGAACATATTGGAGCATTTAGCAGCATGAAGTTTTCCTGAAAATAAACCTCTTTTGATTGTTTGAATAATGCATGTCTGGCTGGAAGTAGCATGTTGTAGTCTTACAGAGGACGGAGGAGATCAGGGTTAAATGGTTAGGCATACAAAGATTGTAAATTCAACACGGGAAACTGTGATTCACGCTCCATCTCCTACCATCAGACAGCATTGGTTTCTTTTAACCATGACGGCGATCTTTTGCGAACTGAACCAGATCTTAACTGTAGAGGTGGCAGGCCATAAAATTTTCATATGACTCGTTGTTTGGAACAGTCTAATCAAATAGGAGACACCTGAATCTGTTCAGCTCTCCACATGTCAAACAAGTCTTTTAGACTCGCTCCAGAGCCCATCAGGTCACTCTGCAGTCAAACCTTGTGTGCATGACCGGGCTGCTGCCTGTCTTCGCTTCACTTTTGTGTTTATTGTGTTTGGACGGAGATGAAGCAAGGCAGCGAGGCCAGACTGGGAACGCCTGGCGAGATGCTAACCGTCACTGGTGGGGGAGGCCTGCCATACACATACCCAAGGGAGCCATCAAAACAGACCTGTAACTGCACACACTACTACCTCCAACTTTACTCCAAAGAGTCTCGTCTTTTTTTCACATTTTGTCATTTTTCTCTGGGCATGCAGGGACAAGTCTTTGAGTTTCACTTTGTGTTCTTTTGCTGGAACGTTCTGGTCGTTTATAATCTGCTCTGAATATCAGTCTTTTTTTTCGCTCCCTATACGCCAACATTTCCCCCTCTGCAGTACCTTACAGCAGTTCAACTTTTCTTTTTTACCTTTCTCTGCTCACCTCTGCTTCTACCCATACTCCCATCCAATCCTTCCTCCACACCGCTAATGCCTGTTAGTTAGATTGATAACCTCCCGCTGCAGGAAACAGACTCGTTCCTCTGTTTCCTGCTGTGCTGTAGCTCCAGAGACCTTATTAGTTTAGAAATGGAGTCACGGGGAGGGTGTGTGGAGGAACAGTGTTCTCTGGTTATCAGCTGACTCCTGTGGGACTAATAATCTCAGGTTGCGAAGTATACATGAGAGGTGAGGTGTGTCACGGATGGTTCAGGGAATTATAATGCAGTTTTTTCTCTAATCCATGAAGATCTGATCTGAAATCTAATTCTGCTTCTCTCTCAGCTCAAATATGGGATCTTTAGATTAGACATGTCTCTTTCCCCAAATGAAAATTTATGTGGGTGTGTGTCCACAGAAGTAGAAGAAGATCAGTTGGATTCTTTGCTGAAACAAATTGGAGTTTTGGAAATTTCTTGCAAAGAGTTAGATCAATATCTCTCTCATGTCTGTCCATTAAGTGGTAAACTTATCTTAGCGCATACACTGTAAAAAAGGATTCTGTGGTCATGTAGATTTGAATTAATGTATTAGATAAAATATATTCAATATGATTGTGTTTTTGATTTTGAGGCAAATATTTAATTAAATTTCAAATAAAAATGTTAAAATCCACCCATTGTAGTTAAATAAAACATAAGCATTGTATTTATCTAATCCCAAATAGAGTGAATATTGAGTAAATTAATGTAATCAGGCAAATTTTAATTAAAAAGCACTTCCTGTCAAGAATTCCCATAATGCATGGCGGTGAAGGGAGTTCTGTTAAAATTAGTTAATAAGTCTCCTATTTGTTTGAAATACAAAATTTACTTTGTGAATTATGTTTTTTTAAACGTGTGTGTTTAGAATATAGTGTTTTTGGTTGGTAATTGTCATTCTTGTGGTGTTTTTTTGTTATACAGTCTATGGTTTACTATTGAAACCAGGAGTGAAAGTGCCTGTTTTATTTGATAAGTTTGGCTGCACTGATCATTGACCGTTGTATTGAAAGCAGTTCTCCTGTATGGGTGAGTTTACAAGCAAATGACAACGCATCCTTATATGTAGATGATTAATACTCAATTATATATCATTGACATATAGAATTAAATTTGGCAGTAATTACACATTAGGGAGTTTCTTTTTCAACTCGATATTTTTGTTTAGGTTATAATTAATTCTGTACTGTTTTCTATTTGAATCTACTCATATTAAATGGAACTATTAAGGGTCTCATTAATTAATATTTACTCAATACCAAACAAAATTGCTTGTAATCTGTTGCCTCATTTTTATTGAGTAGATATGGTGTATCTTTTCTTACAGTGTAGATCGGTAGCACGGGTGATGTCTAGCTGGCTCTGTCCAATGTAAAAAATATATCGGCAACTCCACCATGATGCACTGTATCTTGTTTGTTTATACAGATATGTAAACTTGACAAATGTTATGTGCCACAGCCAATAGAATAGAATAGACATCTCATGTGTAAGTTGGTTTTTGGCCTCACAGACGTACAATTCTTGATGAACAGAGGAGCCGTTTGCGCAGCACTTCAAGAAAGAATTAACTCATCCTAAAACTAGGGTTGGGCAATAAAACAATGATGATAATTAACGTAATATAATTTTCCTCAATAACAATATAACAAATGTTCAATATATCGTCAATAAATGTTTTATTTTATTTATTTGAATCACGAACTAATTAGCACTTTTTCTTTTTTCAGTTTTTCTTTTAATGTATTTATTTTATTTGTTAAAAAAAGATTTTATCATAGTTGTTTGAATGTTCTACCTCAAATTTGTGAAGTGATCCACTGTTTGGCATTAAGTGTTTGTCATGTTCGGACCATAAAGAGTAGTTTAACCACATAATAACCATGTGTTGTTGTTTTTTTATTTCACTCAGGAGCAAAAATCAGCCTTTAAACTTGAAATAAATAATGATTTGACATTTATTGTGATAATTATCAATATCGATGGTATGAAATGTTTTTACCGCAATAACATTTTTGGCCATATTGCCCAGCCCTACCTAAGACCATTAGCCATTGTTATTATATTGCCGTTTGTGTCTGATTAAACAAACAAGATGCATCGTGTTGAGGAGTGAGATCTAAGGTGAAAGTATTTTCTCCCTTTGCAAGGATGCAGGCTAGCTGTTTCCCACATTCTAGTCTTTGTGCTAGTGTAGCTCTGATGTTTTATTTTGAATCAATTGTGCTTGATTACAGTTTAAATGATATGACTTGAACGCACATTACCACGTATACTACATGAGATTGAAACCGATCTTTTCCTCTAACTCTCGGAAAGAAAACAAATAAGTTTCTTTCCCAAAATGTTGAATGTTCCTTTAAGTAAAAGTGGCAACACTGATGTAATAAGTATATTTCTCTGATGATATCTATGTGCTTTTACTCATGTTTCTGAAGATAAAGTACTCATCATTATAGAATATCCCTTTTCAGCATGTTACATCAGTATAAATCATATAGCTGGATTATTATTAGTAATGCATTTAAGCAGCAGTTTAATTCCATGGCTGATTGAGATGGGGCTAATTTTACTTTACTTAAGAAGATGTATTGTAGTCTGCAAATTAACTAATAAATACAGCTGTCAAATAAATGTTAAAAGTAAAAATGTCCTGATTTCACTCTGAAAGATAGTGGAACGCAGTACAGGCAAGTGAATGTCCTTGTGTTTATCCCTTCAGATAGAAACCACTATGAAATGTGTGTGTGCATTTTTGGTGACCTTTCCAGTTGGACCTCTCCTACTGTTTAGCCAGATGTCAGCACTTTATTTGAAATAGGAGTGTGTCATCCTGTAAATCATGTTGATTGTACTTCATACTGTAACATAAACTCCTGTCTCCTCTCTCTGTTTCTTGTCCTTTCTCTCCCCCTCGCCCTGTGTCCACATCGCCTCTCTCGCTCTTTTTTTCTCTCTTTTCTGTCATCCTCTGCAGGTCTGATTACAGTCCGTTGTCCTCAACGAGCAGTAAGTAAACCAATGGCGACATGAAGCATTGCTAACAGTGACTCAAACACACAAAGCTAAGGCTGAGGACTTTATCTCCCTAATACACACTAATAAAATAAATCCACTCACAGGGGAGGATTGTGTGTGTGTGTGTGTGTGTGTGTGTGTGTGTGTGTGTTTAGTGGTCCTTATGGCCAGCAGCAGATTTTAGGGAGAACACTTAGTCTGGCAATAACAATTGTCTTGACTGATTATTATTGTCTTCCTCCTCTCACCATAGCTTACATTTACTGTGATGTTGCATGCTAGACATTTTGCACATTGGACATAGTAAATGGTTGGGAAAGGGGGAAAACAAATTTGGCTTCAAGGGGAAATTAGATTTTATAAAATTAACTACTAAATTGGAATTGGAATTGTTTTCAAAATTCAAAACATGGACAGAATAATCTGTGTAGCTGTGACTTTTAACTTTACAGTATTAGCATTTGACTTTTTGTAATTTTTTCATAATCATAATTTCTTGTTATTATTATTGTTTCATTCAAATTGATGAAAGTGTGGCTCACTCCCATTGTATTTATCACTAAGCCATTGGAAATCAGCTTTCAAAATATACATGATACAGATCAGCTACTGGATATTGTTTGTGTATACGTGTTCATAAGTGCTTGAACTATGATGTCGCCACTTGCTGCATGCACAGTGTCTGACTGGTTGCCAGATTTCCAGGCCTTTCACAATGGGAGGATTATATCCAGTATTATCCCATTAATCTGGTCTACAGGAAGCTGCGTTATCCCACCCGCACCACTCCCGCAAGTCAGGAAGTACAGGGATCCATGCAAACACACACTCACACACACACACACACGCGCGCGCACACACACACACACAAACAACACACACATATAGAATGATCCAGCAGTGTCTGGTTTGGTCTTTCCCCTCATGTTTCCTGTGTCTTTCCTGTATCAGATGAGCTTTTTCCCATTATTGTATTTGCTCTGTCCCTGTCGCCACTGGAGGTCAGAATGGGGAAAATTTGTGCACAGGCACGTTGTCCAGGAACTTTAAATACATGGGAAAGTGTGACCGCAATTAGATAGACACTACTGGACTAGAACTTTATATAATTTCTACCATTTCTCCATGGAAAATACTCTCTGATTGTTTGGCAGGTGTTTACTTTGTATATCAGGGCACCTCAAATGGAGCTCTGATCACTAGTTAAACCACTGCTCTATATAAACGTGCAGGTACTATTTACTGCTGGTAACCATAGCATGTGACGCTATGTACCACACGACTCAGTGATAAAATGGACCTAGCCAAGGGTTAAACTTTAACTGACTATAAACAAACTTGTATGACAATTTGAAAGCAAATTTGAACTACACCTTTTTTCTGTAGTAGGTGGCAGTGCCATCAGTGCGATAATACACTCTGAGGTGTCCTGGTGTAGTAAATATAAGACTTAGTGAAGGGCTGTAGCATTTTCACCCTTGTTTGGTCCATAATTTTTTAATATCAGTATCTTAATATGTACAGTGTTGTCACTTTGTAGTAACCTGTTACCACGCCTGTTCTTACCAAAATGCTGTCATGCACACATATTTATCTCATTATTATCTTTTAACAAATTCACACTTTTGGATGGCTTTTGCTCATTCTCCTGAGGGGTCTTAATGCTGAGTAGCTGGATCAGCCTCCTTAACCAGCTACCTAAAATATGTTCATAGTTTATTTCTGCTGCAGTGTCTGTAATTTTTGCCTGAAAAAAAAAGAATTGACAAAAAGAAAAGAAGTTACTGAGCGCTGAGTGACTTGCTATATGTCAAACCTTTATTGGCCCACAGGGAATATGTCTGGCATTAAGCGCCTTCACAAATGGAAAAAAGAGTTTTAATGACATGGCAGGATTCTCTCAGGGTTGACAACAGTGATGAGTTCTGAAATGATTGCAAATCACAGGAAGTCTCCAGGTAGTACTATTTTTTTGTCTAATACTGGTTCTGAGACGCAATATTAGTTTATGAAAACATACACATCCTACAGACAAATGTTCACTTGAGTCTCATACTAATGATCACACTATAGATGACTCAACAGATTGATGCAAACTGCTGTGGTCACAGATTATCCAGCGTCGTGGACAATATAGAGTCATCTGTCTCAGCGCTGTGTGTGGCTGCCTGTTTTTGTCCTCTATGTGTCTGCATTCATGCACATCAGTGTGTGCTGAGGAGTTCATTCGTAAAGTTGCATGCTGCATCAGTCTCCCTCGTCTCCTGCCTCCGCAGAAGTATATTTAGGTTCTGGTAGAGAGCGTACTCATGTTTATACAGGTGGTCTTAACACCTGACCTTCGACCTCAGCCCAGACTAGCCCTGGAGACAGACTGATATCCTGCTAAACCACCAACATCAGTCTGACTGAGGTTAAAATCTACTTCACTGTAGGTCTTATGTAACTGAGACTGGAGGGATTCAAATGGCCTCAGTCTTGAAACTACATCAATGTGTTTGAATCTAAATGTAATGAGTATTAAATTACCAGTTCTTTAGGACAGTGTGTATGTTACTGTTATCTACTCAGCACCTCCACTGGTGCAGTTGAGGGTTCAGCTTTTAACACATCATTTGAAGCTTTTGTAAGCCTATCCATAATGCTAAAAACCCAATTTAAAACATTCAAAACATTCTGTAATGTAGTGAAACTTGCTTGTATCAAGAGATGAAAAAGAAATCCCAGTGGGATGAGTAAAAATGACTTCATAAGATTTAGTGAAACTAGCATAAAAATATAGCCACCATAAAATGCTACCTGAGCTGAAGGGATAAGGATGGCTGATATTCTATTTTTTCTTCTTATTGTCACATGAAAGGCATAAAAACTAAAAACTTTCAGTACTTTCTGGCTTCCATACCCTGCCTGTGGCATCAGGCTCCATGCATTCCTACAGAAGACGCAAATCTTTGAAAACACATCTCAAATATATAGTTTAGTTTTTACAGGAGGAAGTATTGCAATTGTTGGGGACTATTTGCAGAGGTGGATTAATCCACATTTGGTGTTTACAGAGTATTTCTGGATGATACATGCGGGATTGAATCAAAATAAACTACAAGTGTGTCAACCCGAGCAACAGTGTGGCTCACTGATGTGTTTTAATGGCAACAACAGAGCTCTTAGCACAGAGGAATAAGATCTATCAGACTTTATATTACAAAAATACTTGTTAGAAGGATCAGTTCATTGTTGTTTTGGTCCTTTCATGGGATTTGTTGACAATAATTGATTTGTCCTTTAAAATTAAAATAATACATAATAATAATTAAAAAAATACATCGAACATACAAGCTACTTCTTAAAATAAGAATTTAGTGTAATTTTTCTTTCAGTATCTGGAATATTTGAAAAGACACTTGAAACAAGTTGATGAATAAACATCTTCTAAGACTCAGTAACAGACAATATCACAGGCTAAGATGTGGTGTTTTTGTTGTCTATTGCCATTAGGTGAATTTGTAACAGTGATACATACAGTGACAGTAACTCAAAGTTAAGAAGTAGAAATTGTAGCAAGAATGTCATGCAACAACAGTGACGGAAATCTCAGTGCTATGCGTAATCTGTCTTTTATGCTGTGTGCACTGGTGTGTGCAGCATCTTTGAGCGTTCAATAGAAGGAAAAATAGATTTTGATTCAAGAGGCTTCAACTGAATCCTACCCTAAACACTTAATCACACAACCTTGCTTTCTATTGGTCAAAGCAGACGAATGTCCATTCAGCCTGAGTGACCTGTGACCCTGCCCCCACTGGTTTGTGTACATATATGTAAGACAGAGGGGGTCGGCTGTCAGAGTAATTAATGTTCTGGGGCCTGAAGGGTGTTTTAAACTATACAGAGGTCACACTGTAACAACACAAAGATGCCAAGCAGAGACACAAATACAGAGGCAATAAACAGACTTGAGAAGGACAAGCTTGATTTGTCACACTCCACCTACCTAAAAAATATACTGTAGATGTATTTATTACTCGCAGATGTAGACTCGTGAAAATTTACACCCCGGCCAGCATCCAAAAAGAGAAAAATTTGGATGAAAGATGAAAAGAAAACATGGGATAGATTCAGGACATCCAACTTTTGCAGGTAATTGTAAGCAAAACAAAGACTGTGAAAACATTTCTTCCTAAGAAAGAAATCAGAAATGAAAGGAAGATTTCAAAACATTGAATAGAATAAAGCTTATCAGCATATTGAACAGTTCAGTGAGTCTTTAGTCCACAGAGGTCTAGACAGGATTGATGGTAGTCGAACAAAAGCCTGGGAGTCACAGGTTGACGTCAGGGATCAGTCTGTCACCAACAGATGTCTGCTCGCTGAGACAAACACATATATCTGTGTGTAAATGTGTGCAGATGTATCCCTGCATATGCACTTTACTGCATTCACAAAAAAAAAAAGTAAAAATATCTTGTTTTGTAGACACATCACAATGCTAACCTTGGTGACAAATAAACCGTATATCCAGTGGATCCCCAGCTAAACACTTAATGTTCAGTGGTGGGAAATGTTTGGTTTGCATTATCAGTTACTTAATACAGCACTGATATGATTGTGGGACAGTGAACAATTAACACAGAGGCTGATATCAATTAGGTAAAATTACAAAACAGCAACATTGACTCTTTTGTGCATTAGTAAGCAATTTGAGTCATACAAAAAAGGCGGACCCTTCCAGTAGCAATGAAAACTACTGTATTGAGAGGTAGTTACAGAATGTTATTACACTGAATCACACAGGTCTGCTGTGGTTTTGAGTGACATTTAGAACTGCTGAACATCATGCAGCTCATATATCTGGAGGCAGACAAAACAGAAACTGGAATATGTAAAGGTTCATTATTAATTTTTTTTATTAAATTTTTTTTGTTTTTGCTAATTTTAGTTTGTAGGTTCGGACTGAAACATCCATGCGCGAGAACTTTTTTCTGTATTTAATGTTG